ATACCCACCGCGTACTGCTTTCCCCAGCTCAATAATTTCATTGACCCAGGTCATTAAGGAGTGTTCTCTGGCTGGAAATCAGGTCAATTACCACAAATACTTGGAAGGATTCTTCCGACGCAGCCTAGTTTAAGCTGGGTAACAATTAGTGGCTCATACATGGCTGACGTCGTGGTCACCAGGCAGTACACCTTGTTAAATTGCAGGACATTGTCCAAACAAAAGACATTCACTGACATGACAAGGCTAAACATGCCAGTGGTGTATTTACTGCGTAGTGCCAGACTGGAGACCGTCTATTGATTTTTCATTCGTAAAGTAACATTTTTGCCCATGTTGTGTTGGTATTTATAAAGCTATTTTTATTGCCAATACGCAGTTCTGTATTTCAAGCTGGATGCGGGATCCAAGTACGTAATCTCTCAGAAACGCGATGATTTACTTATCAGCAACTGCTGCAGCTCATATCAAATGATCAGGCTCACCTCGGTCGAGGTATTATAAATTCCATCCAAGCGTCTGCAGTCGTTGGACGAATATGCCATTCAGCATGGACCAAAGGGATGCCTGGGATATCGAGGTGGGCGGGCATATCAAATATGCTTTGTCAGGCGCACATTGGCGGATTGTTGAGCACGCAAGAGCTTGGGTCTGCTCCAAGTTAGGTCTACGAGTATTTTATGGATTCTACTCATACTGCGGCAGCTGTGCTCGCACGTTATCGGTAGAGTGGGGCTTTTGTAAATCTTAAATTTAGCGTTAACATGCAGCCTAACGGCAGCATTCTACTTTCTACCTTCCTGCCAAGGTTATACTCTCGACGGAGAGTAAAAAGAGTAAAGGAGTAAAAGTCCCAAGGAAGGCGTTTTCACTGCATTCCAAACAAAGCGATTTTTATTGCTGATGCAGAAAGAAGTAGCGACGCTGGAAGAAAAGTTGAATAAGCCACCAAAGGCGAGGAAAGGGCAGATGTTCTATTTTGTGGTGCCCAAGCAGAACTATTAGTTTAGAACTAATAAATACCTTGCGCCTCACAACATTACTCATAACGTTAGGTTGTTCCTTAGCCGTCCAGAATACCACTAAGAAAGGGCTTTAAAGGCTTGCACTTCAAGGGAGATCTCAGGAGATGTGAGTGCTGAGTACGTAAATAGCCAGAATGCAAGCCATGAGTTTTTTCTATTCCAGCTGGTTTGAAGGGTGACGGTTTAAAGGGCAGCGGCCTAGGGACCAAACCGCCCCCGACCAATAAGTCCAAATTCAAAATATATCGCAACAACGAGCGAATTATTCCTGGCAAAGGGGATGCATTACGAACCGGACAGTTACGGGGTGGTTTCCACATTTCCAACGCCGCAGGATGCAAGCAGGAAAAGCGTGGAGAATGCCCGGGGTCGGTATCGAGAAACGCCGTTCCAAATAGCAATTTCTGTGTGAAATTAATTTTGTTTTGTGTGCCTCTGTTTGCTTGCAGAAATGCGAAATAATTGCCAGCGGGAGATGCTCCTCGGGCGATTCTGGATCATATCCAGAATTTGGTCACGTGCGGTTTACGAATTTGACAGCAAATGACTCCTGCGACTCTAAATTTTGGCAGTATTTATTAGGGCATGGTACGGGAAACTTAACATCAGATAACTTTTTAGAAATTGGAAGCTAGTCCTTGCACTTGATTTTTGCCGAAGAAAACGCTTTGTTTCCGAGGTGCAGGAACTGCAGATGGAATTCCTGTGGTGCCAAACAGTACAATGTGTATATATAAGGTTCATAAAATTTCATTTATATAGCCATTCCCAATATTTTAGCCACCTCTGTGCCAAATGCCTCTGCTCAATCCGGGAGACATTCGCGCTCACGCACACCAAACAACATAACGAAGGACGGAGTCACAACAAAGGCATAATAGAGAAAGATACAGTGAAATAAAAGAATAACAAAATAAGCGAATGCCACTTCCAACCCCCGACAGCCCGATGAGCCACCCGAAAAATAAAGCCCCGTTTTGCAAGTGGCAACAAGAGCAGGGAACGTGTAATGCTGTAAGCAGGGCCAGACGCCGAGAAGATCTAAGCGAAACCATCCCTCCGAACACCGGCAAGGATGGATTCAGCGGCAGAGGACAATGCCACAACAAGAAGCAGCTGCTGTTAGTTGGCTCACAGGCATTTCTCTCTCATTTTCCCATTTTTTGTTTTTACGTACTTGTCTCGGGGCGTCATCGTCGTCCTCGTCGCCATCCTTGGACTGAATCCAGAATCTACTTCACAGCGTCGCGCTCACGCTCATCTCATTCCAACGTACCCGACAGGGTCTACGAAAGCTAGAGTCAGAATTCAAAATCCCTGAAAACGTGATGTATTCACCGAATTCTATCACTCTGCTTTCGAAATGAAGTGCAAATAGCAGCGGGCGCTTTAGTTTGTTTGCTTCCAGGTGAGACGAATAGCGAAATTATCCCCTTGAGTGTATTATTAATACTTTAGTTAATTCCTCTTTACCGCGATTAAGGGATTTCAAAGGTTTAGCTTAAGCTTAGAAAAAATAGGAAGCAAGCGTGATTCGGATGTTGTTTTGCGATAATTCGCTACCTTCAGCCTGATCCAATCAACAGTCAATATCCATCAATCTAACCCAATCAAAACCAAATTGGAGAATAAACGCAAACGCCATAAAAGGAGGCGACTTTTACCGTTTACATATATAATATGTGTATGTGCATACATATAAGCGTAGCATCAATGAAATTCTGAGTCGTCATCACGGAGGGGCCTTAGAGGCAGGGAAGAGAGATTCGATTCAAGGTTCCAATATAAATCTTCTATATGATGACATCATATGGTGCCACTGACTAGAAAAATTGTGTGCAAATATTTCAATTATGTTTAATTTATGCCAAGTTTGTCGATATATTTAGGGTATTTAGGTACTAGTACATTTCGTTGCGGATTTTCTTTGGAACAGTTCCACAGAGTAACCCCAAACAAACTTGAAACTTATACAACGTAAGCACCACTGGAATTGACCTCTGACGGCAAAATGCATGACCTCTCATGCCTGATGTCCATCAAGCTAAATCGATTTTCATTTTCGGGAGTGCTTGAAGGTCTTCCCACCACCTACCTACAGCAATAACCAGGACCTAATCCACCATTCCGTCAAACAAACAGAGCCACTCAGCGGTCCATTAGGAAGTTAGTCAACCTACCTTAACCTAAAACTGAACAACATCGGTCTTTTTGCATATATCTTTGCGAACTTGGTAGTCTGTAGCCTATGTGGGCCATCGCGTGCTTGACAAGAGTTAATTGGGCGGTGAACAAAATTTCATAATCAACAACTGCTGGCAATGGGAAATTTACGACGTTCCCCCGGGTTGATGCTCTCCTTTTTGGGGCATAAACTGAAAAATTGACTACGGAATGGAAGTCGGTTCTGCCTACGAATGACTCATGATGTTACCTCCATTGGAAGGACCCAAAACTAGACCTCGACATCGAAACGAACTTCCAACATTAGTTCATACCCGCTATCTAGCTCAGTTTTTATTATCCCCTTCGCAGCCTGGACAGACAATTGCTACCGCGTCTGCATCCTTCGTCCCTCGACTGCTCCTTGAGCATTTGTTTGTTTTCGTGCGGGTGTCCTTTCCCCTCTGACCCAGCTGTTTGCGTGCGGCGTCAAATAGGTTTTCCACCCGTTCTGCCGCAGCTGAGAAGGAGGGAGGTCGGAAAGGGACAGGAGGCGTCAACCGAGTAAACGCCAACTTGGCGCCATTTCAATGCCACCAAGCTTTAATGGGAACCCGCTTGGTAACGAAGCAGTGCCCGTGTTTGAGTGGAATGTCAGATGTTCATAGGACAAATGACGTAGCAACGGGTATTTACTCCAACAGCCACGAAGCAGCATAAGTTTCTAATATCCAGGGGTAAAAACATTTTGTGCTGTGCAGTTAGCATTGCAATTTTAATGATATAAGATTATAGAAAATAAAGTAAGTAAATACGAAAGAGGACCAAATATTAACACAAAAGTGTTGATTGGACGATGATATCACACTGCGTACAACAAAGAACGAAAACAATCGAAAAAATGTAAATTTGACAAAAATAAATAAAAGCTAAAGCAGAAGAGCAAAAACAATCACCAGGCAAATCGAACCGAAGCAAAATCATCAAAACGAGTAAATAAAACACGTTTGGGTGACCGGCTGATGGGACGAATATCTGCGAGTCGACGCCGCAAGGGAACCAGTCGAAAATAAAGAACGGCGAAGTGTTTGAGCTGGAGAGCTTTTTGATATCAGCTATTTGGCTAACAAAAGTTTGCAACTGACTTTAAGGGTCCTTAGGTATGCGTTGTATGAAACTCCCCCTTTAAAAGTTGAGGAAACCTAATCGAATTTGCAGGGTATTCAACTCGATTAACAGGGAAAATCGATTTTCCCCCTCCGAGAAACACGGATCATATTGTAATATACGGAGGTCCAATGCCCAACGAACCCCCTTATGCTTATTAGGTCGAACGTGCCTGTCACGAGAATGAGGGCCAGGAAAACTGTCTGAGGCAGAGTTTCCGGCTGGGCCCAGTACTGACTCCAGCCCACCAACCCGCCACTTGATCCGGTTATTTGATGGCGGAATAACAGCCTTTGATTTTGGGATACTGTAGGAGCGAAGTATCGGTACTATGTTGTCTGCTACCCGTCTGGCCTTTTATTATTTACATCCCCCAGGAAACCTAAATAGAAGCGGCGAATATCCTACCGGAATCAACTTCCAGGTTAATTTATGTGAGTGTCGCTTCTGGCTGCGGTTCGTGGCACCCATTAAAAATTTACCTCGGCACAAGTCTGGGAAATCTATAGCATCAGCAACATACTCAAATTTTGAGATCCCAAGCTACTCAATGGAAAGTCAGCAAGAGTAATGCATAATAGCAGAATGCAATTTTATCCAGATTACTCAGAAAAATTATTATCAACAGCTGCAAATGACGCTTACCTGAATAGATTAGTTAGTTCGCCATTAAATATTGTGAATGTGAATGGGTCGAGATCCTGGAAACAAGAAACCACAGAAAAAAAGCGTAAGAGTCCAGAGGTATTAATCAAATTTATCGGTTATCCTGCAGCGTTTGGAGTTGGTTAGCCTTTGCAGTAAATTCGTTAGCGAACGCAAATCGAATTTGCTATTGCGCTCTAGTTTCAACACACACACGCGCATACACGCACACACGAACGCAGTCAAACTGGTCAGCAAGCGAATGACGTCATTGCCAAGGATGCTGTGCGCATCCCTATAACTCTGCCAAAAGTCGCCCTTTGTTTTAATATTTATAATTGTTTATTAAGCATTCACTGTACTCTGGAAGAAAATCCGTTTCCCAGAAAAGCCGCCAGCTTTTTCGGTTAATTTTATGGTTAATTGAGCCAGGCGCCAAGCTCTCGGCATTGGCTTTTTATTATTTTGAAGGGGACTTACTACTAAGGTCGAACCCTTACTGCATTCTTCAAAATATTTTCCAAAGCGAAAAGAATCTCTAGTTCCGCGCGCAACTATATTATTAACGCTTTTTGTTACGAATCAGGCAACAAATCTCCAAACAACCGCGCGCACCTTCTCCGAATCGACAAGAAACATTTGTGAGCGATTTTTGAGCTCCTCTCGGTAGTAGTACCAGTCAAAACAAAATCAGGAAATCCCAAGTCGCCATAATAAATTTCTCTTAATAGTTTTCTATATCGACCGTGTTGGCGCTTTAGTAGATTCCTCTAACAGAAATGTTAGCAGAAATTTTGGAAAACTTTGTATTATCTACATGCTGCTAATAAACAAATGTAAAAACACGCCATCTGTACCATGGGACACTATGAGTATCTAATGTTTTGGGAAATATGCAGCTGCTATATTAAGAGCATGTCACGAGTCACAAACTTAACTTCTGTAAAAAGAGTACAGCGATTAGAGCTTAACATATCTTTTTCAGTCCAACAATTCAATTTTTAGTTCTATTCTATCTATTGCTATAATTGAATAAAAAAATGGTTTGTGAAAATTAGGATAAAAAAGTAAGAATAGAAATAAAATGAAAGAAACGGTAAGGAAAACGCTGTATGTTAAAAGTTTTGTTTAAAAATTACATTTCCATAGCACTTAAGCGCCAACGCGGGCGAAAAAGGAATCACAAACGGTTTATCCCAACATTTAGTTGGAAACCCTGCTTTGAGTGATGACATTTTTTTAAAATTAACTTATGCCCATTTCACACCAACCGTAGCATGAATATCTGTAAATTGTTTTGCTTATATTGATTGAAATTGATCTTCTATATAAGAATCTGTAAGCAAAAATATTAATATAATTCCATATAATCGAAGAAAACGAAAATTAATTTGATAAGTGTGCCCATTTTGCTTTTTTATATAACCCCGCAGCTGTTTACACCGGCCACATACTAGAGTCAGATTCTCACACATGAACCAATTTGAAAATCCGAACATTTACCTTGGATAGTGCGACCGTTTCTTATCTGACTTTTTACTCTGAAACTTATAGCTTTTGGACTTTTCACACCGATCGTAGACTGGTCTCACTGTCTCGTAGAATTTGTTCGTTTGTTGATTCAAGAAAAAAAATTCGAAGCGAGAAGACGTGCGCTCATCAATTGCGGTCAAAATCTTTGTGAGTGAAGTGTCTGTGTGTGTGAGTTGAAAGTGCAGCTGTCGCTAAACAAATGAAAAGCGCATAGTTTTAAAAAAAAAACCGCTGTGGGTGCAAGGCGCCAGCGTTTCGTAGTCATTCGGGGCGGCAATACACCAAAAACAGGCAAACATAACGGCCTATGCCAAAAAACAGACGTAGACTGAATACATGTAGAATTATTTCAACGATACGCCCAAAGTCGCTGACGCCGGCAGAGACGCCGAGTTGCAACAAATGCAGCGAATGCGGGCCTAAATTCAGCTGAATTTCTGAATTTGCACAAACGCGTTGCTGACGCGGTGAAATGGGAGCATAAAAAACCGAAACACAACATTTATGTGCGAAATATGCGAAATTTCGCTCCCATTTGTGTGTGTTTGTGTGAGCTGTGCAAGTGTGTCTGTGTTGCTGAGAGAAGGGAGTGGAAGAGGAAGAGCGAGAGAGAGTGAGGGAGAGAGAAGACGAACAAGAAGATGTGGAGCCGCGCTTATACCTGCTCCGAAAACTGAAAAAGTCGAATTTGGAGTGGCCTCAAACTGAAAAAGAGTCTTCAAAACTGTTTAGCTGCAGTCTTCGGAAATGCAAACTGGTTAATGGTTAATTGCTACGTAGCTGTTTTTCCGCTAAATCACCTCTTCTTGTTCCCCTTCTGTCTCCTATCCTCGCCCACTACTGACGTTGGCTTAAGAAAATTAAAATGTGTGGCCATATTTTTCTTCTCCGCCTCGGCCATTCTTTCGCGCTCTCCCTTTTGAAACTCTCGCCGCGCGTTGTTCTCGTCGCCTTCGTTTTGTGCCGCACTTCCAAGATAAAGAACGCGAAATAAATGCGAATTGTATCTCGGCAGAGACGAGCGAAACATATTCATTTGTTCTCATCGATTTGTTTTGTCCGACAGAAAAGTGCGTTGCAGTCGAATATCCAATAGCCAATAGCCTATAGCCTATAGTCTATAGACGCTGATTACCGATTAGCAGAAAAGGAATTATTCATTAACGGCCGCAGAAAGCTAAACAGAGGGAAACATCAAAGTGCCGCCAAGATGTCGGAAGAAGTAGATCGCAACGATCCGGAGCTCAAGTATCTCTCTGTGGAGCGCAACCAGTTCAACGATCCGGCCACACAGGCCGAGTGGACACAGAAGCGTCTGGTGTGGGTGCCGCACGAGAACCAGGTGAGTCTACTTAACATGGGTCTGATCTAGAGCTCGGCCCTGCGCTATGGTTGTTTCTACCCCTTCTGAATCAGTATGGGAACCACGCCCGAAACTTAAAATACCTGACATAAACCGTATTGATAGCTCCCCGCACAATAGCAACAGGAACAACTACAGCTGCGTTCAGCGTAATAGCCCTGAGAAAAAAAAAATTAATTTTTCTTTTTAAAAACGAAGAGTAAATATATTCTTATTGAAAAAATCTAAAAACAGATACAAATTTGTATTCTTTGATAAAATCTTAAAGTTATAGTCTTTTATAGCTTTAAATTGAAATCGATGAAAACTATACTTCAACCAAAGTAACAATAAAACTTTAAACTCGCAGCCATTTGGGAATGATATCATACTTTTTGTATGACAAAAAACTGAAAACGATTTGACACGTAGTGATATAGATTTTACCGTAGCTGTACATGTTTGTAATCAATTTGCGCAGTGTTTGTCCCCGGCTTTGGGCTTCTTATCAACCAACACCTTTCCGAACTATCCCGGCCCACTCATCGATCGGCCATGAATCATGCCTCTTCGTTCCGTTTATTTTTAATTTTTAACCGGGCCAACTTCGTTGAATTTTTCATTACTTTCGCGCCGCGGTGATAAAATTGGGTAAACATCCGCTGAATCACTCGTTTCTCCTGGGGTGATGCTGAAAGCACCTCGCCGCATTGGTGAGTCCGATTTAACGGTTTTCCTGGTCAAATCCGCGACCATTTGCCGCCAAGAGGCTTTGTCCAATGCCAATACCAAAACCAAAACCAATTTGCATGCAGACGCTCTCTGACTCACCTTCATGTGAGAGTGGTAGCAGGAACGGGCTTAGTTCCCAGTGAGAGCAAGCCATAACAAGTTTTCAACATGGCCAGGTATTTATGTGTTCGATTTGCTTGCCTCAAATAAACATTTACCAATGCCAGAGAAAAAATAAGTTAAGATTGGGTCAAAGAATCAGTGCCCTGGGAGGTTTCTGCTCCCACTCTTGTTTAAAGAATTTGATCGCGAATTCAAACCAATCCGTACAGCAGTATGATAATAAGCTGAATTGTTTGTTTTGTTGCTTTCTTTCTTCACTTTTCTGTTTGGGACGACTTCTTTCAGGTGTCATTCAACTGCATTCCTAAGACTTAATTTTGCGACCATAAACCCAAACAGCTTAAATTAGCAGCCTCGTCTTCATACCCTGGGGTAGCCGGTAATTGCTTTATTTGCCAGAGATAATTCCGGCGCATAGAATGGTAGCACTTCTAGGTGACTTCATATAATAAAACCAGCAACACACCAGAAAAACAAAAGGCAACAACTTCACATTTTTGTGTAATTACGCGATCACCTAAACAGACATTTACTTTACAATGGAATCTCACAAAAAGGCAGCGACAGAGATAAGGCCAAGAAAAAACAAGAAAATAACGACACGAGCGTAAGCGCGCGGGACAGACCGTCGAATAGTCTTAGGGCCGACTCATGAGACAATAGAAACTTTGAGAGATTTGCATTTAGCTCAAACTTTTGCTTCTCTGAAATGTCCAACAGTTACAGCTATGGTTTAACGGGAACGGACCCGGCTAAAAGGCTATTCGCCAATTGTGTCAACACTTGGTTTGTCCGAACAACCCACATTGTTTGGTTTCCAACTGTTCCAACTTTGCGCAATATAGGGGAATTCGTTGAAAAATGGCAACATCAGTCTGAGTACGTGATATTCAAATCCATTTATTTACTTTTTGATAAACAAGGAACCCTTTATTTAGTGGTTAGATTATGTTAGATTTTGTTTACTGATCAGCTCGTGTAGTCTGCATTTGGATATGATGATTCATGTATGTGTTTGCACAAGGAGGGAATATTATTCAGTACCGATTATAAACTAATCCAAGAATTTTTAATGTTATAAAATCATTGTTTTGACTTTGTTCCTATTCCGTCAACAATCTCGAAACATTTATATTGGTAACCAAATCGAAGTCGGTTTAACCTTCGTCATGCCCAGAGAATCGAATCGATTGTAACGAACGCCGATCGTTAAGGGAAATTTGTACACCCGCACATGCCCCCGGAATCGTTTGTTGTTGTTTTCAAGCGTATATGTATGTGTGTTACATGTATTTATAACCAAAAGAAACCACTTTGTACTTTGTGACCACTTCTACTCCGCCCTCGCTTTAGCTGTTCTGGGTTCTGGTGTCCATGCCTGCGAGTGAGTTTTTTCTTTTCGGTTACGGCCACGACAAACAAATCTTTCGACTCTCGTCCGTCCGGTTTACGGTCAACGAACCTGCGCCTCGTATCACGTATGTGTAATATACGTTGCGTACCCTCTCCATCTCCATCTTCACATGCATATGCGATGATCGATTAAACGAAGGAATTATATAAAGGAGTAACAAATTATTGTCGTTCTGCTTGTCGGCATTCAGATCGTGCTCGAGCGGAGGATGATGGGGCTTACGGGGACCCCCTATTCATTGTTCTTTTTATATTTACATTTTCGTATTAGTGTAAACAAAAGAAGTTAGCAAAAACCATACGCTGCCAAAGAGTATTGATGGGTTTGGCTGATAGATATTCGTCGGTTTGGCAGGTTCAAGATGGCTACTCAGCAACCTAAAGTGGTTTCCCAATCTTGACTTCTCTTCTACTCCCTCCGCTACATCCTTCCTTCGAGTCCCCCACTCCGTTCATCATTCTCATCAACACTTTCTCAGCACCCTTTGCTTTGTTTGTAGGTGTTGTTTTATATTTTCATTGGTTTCGCTCGAACGATTGCCCGGAATGCCCGAGTTGCCGTTCAGTGAGAATTCGAGACAGATGACCTCATATGGCCAGCTCTTGCTTCAGACTCTCGCTGCCTGCTAATTTCCTTGGCTCGATAACTTCAATTCCTCTCTTTAGGGGCATTCCAAAAACGTGATTCATGGTCCAACGGGGGAACCATTTTTCGATTCGCTTATGCTTCTTCTGCCGTAGTTGCAAAAGCCTTGCATGTGGTGTGTTCAAACTGTCAAATGTTTTATGTGACATTTTTTGGCGGAATACATACCGTCTGTTGAGAGAGGGGGGGAAAATCGGAAAATATGTTTAGGCAAAAGTACTCGAAATTGCTTAGATAAATTTTTCAGCTTGCTAGCGCATGTATCGCATTTTGCCATATGTCGATCTAGTGTGCCGAAAGTTATCACTCGGTTATTTTTCCACACGGCATAGAGCAAAAATAATAGTTTCGGTTGCGCGCTTGACTTTCGGGAATTTAAACGAACTTATTACATGCATTAAATGGTTTCATATCCGTCATATCCGCTCAAGAATAACGACTTTCTTATGGCTGTTTATCCCTAGTACCGGAAAAGCGCAAAGATAACACAGCCAACAGCAGCGTAAAGCGAGAGCGAGATCCGATGCTGATCGTTAGGGCGTGCGCGTGCTTAATTTAATGGACCCTGTCTGGGCTGGGATGCTTTGCAGATGCTCCTGCACTGCTACAGAAGGTTGTTGTTGGTCTTAATGCATTTCTAGTTTGCAGCGGCAGCACTTCACTCTGCTGTTTAATGACTGAATTACGGAGTGCCCCTGATTTGATTAATGTTAATGCGCCGCTTGTAGCATGCCCCAAGAACCAAAGCACCCATTGTTATTTCTTCACTTGAATTATAATTGAAGCAGCATGGATGATTATGAAATTTTCGCAAAATATTTTTGTTCGATTCCACTTTAAAGTTCTTCAGGTGAGGGAAATTCTGATGTAGCCTTAGACAGTTACGGCCAAAAATTCGTGATGACCATATAAAAATTACATATAGTTGAATACACGCCTTGAACTTGTAACGCATCGTATGGCGAAGGGGAAGGGGCTAGACAGGCGGACAGACAGTTGCATCTGCCTCCCGTTGTTCTGTTGCCTCTGTTCTTGTTCCGTCTGCCTTGGCCACTTGAATGGGTGCAGTTTTTCCCTATGCATTTCTCTTGCCAGCCAGAGAGCAGAGCCTAAGTGGCTCATCTTCTGGCGCTTGACTCATGCAGCGTTGTTGCACTTGTTGTGTTTATCGCCTACCCGCTGAGATAAAGAAAAAACATACATACTTTTTGTTTTGCATAACAACCCCTTTCCTGTGGATCAAAGATTGCAACCGTGAATAACCCATCATTTTTTATTTTTACAGGGCTTTGTGGCCGCCAGTATTAAGCGAGAGCATGGCGACGAGGTCGAAGTGGAGTTGGCCGAGACTGGCAAGCGGGTGATGATCCTGCGCGATGATATACAGAAGATGAATCCGCCAAAGTTCGACAAAGTCGAGGACATGGCCGAGCTGACGTGCCTAAACGAGGCCTCCGTTTTGCACAACATCAAGGACAGATACTACTCTGGCCTGATCTATGTGAGTACCACGAATAATAGTTTGTTTGTTTTGGACGCCCCAAACGTAGCGCCAGCTGCCGGCAACGTGACGTTGGGTTGATGATGATTCTGAGTAAACAGCCACCTTCCCTTTTCATCGATTGTTTTCGCTTTGCTGGAAATTTTGAAAGGCATAACGTTTTCAAGCCGTCTTGCCTCATAGCATTTCTATTTACTTAAAAGCATCGCAAATATTTGACTCTCAAAGCCCAATCACTCAATACTTCGTTGCATTCGTCACATGCCGAATGATTTATAAACATTAACTTTATTTTTTGTCGCCTACTCTTTGCCTTTCAGCATATCCGCTAATAATTGGCATGCCAAAAGCATTTCGAATCGCGTAGAAAGCCAGCTAAAAGTTAATTTTTGAATTGATGAGAAACAAATTTCAAGTGGCGCATTTAAATTCGGCTTCATAAATTTTATCTGCTTTGCTGTTGTGGCTCTCCCTCTTTTCTCCAATGCTTTTTTAAATCATTAAATAAGTGTTTCAATTGCGAGCTTCAATTGATATCGATTTATCTGATCACATAACGTATTCCCCGAAAACGGGGATAGATGCCCAGGCTTGAACATTCGCCACCATTTTACTTCTTGATTTATGTACATAGATATTGTATTTTTAGTATCTGGTTATCTTTAAACAAAAATCAGGTGGAGAAGCCGACGAACCCAACTACTATTATTGGGATTACAATTACATTTCAAATTACAATTTAGTTTCGTTACCAAGCAAACTCTGGCATCAGTTGTAGGTGTCTTGCATGCTGCCTTCTCACTCTATTTCTGCCTGTTAGCCTTGATTTTTCATTTGCTATACTTTTATTCGCCACCATGAGGCAGTTTCATTTGCGGCTTCTTTTTTGTATTGTTTCATATCAAATTATGTGCCGCTTTTTACATATGTACATATATACTAAGACTGCCACTTATCAGTCTCTCTCTTTTCGTTTTGGGAGTTTTAATTTATTGCCGAAACGCTTGTAGTTGCAGCTTTTTGATGTGGGCGCGAACTGCTTCAAATTTGTTCATATTGTTGTTGGTCGGCTATGCTTCAGCGCACTTGGCATTGTTGTTGTTGGCCAATTCGTGCGCCGCTTAACCGTTTACATAAATACGCCTAGTACTCTGCGTGCGTCCCTTTCTCGCTTCTACCACTCTTGCCCCTATTTGTCCCATTAAATTTGCTTGCCAATTGTTGCTAACTTGTTGCACGGAGGAAGCGAGACTTAGAGAGCTTAGTGCTGCGGGGGCTGCACTTAACGGCATAATTATAATAATTTGTTGACATTTAATTCGATTTTTAAAATTCACTTAAATTAATGCGCCTGGCAGCTGTCGACTTTTGACTGCCTGTAGCTTGTACGCTAATTAATACGCGTCGGCAAGAAGAATGACTTTTACACGGTCATATACACGCACACCAATGGCGACTAACTCATGGATTTTCGTATGCAAATCGAACTGTCAACACCTTTCAAGCACTGTGAAGAAGCAGAAACTAGAAAATATGGCCGATTGGGTTGTCACAACAATATTCGAAAAATTTATCTTATAAGGTTTAGTTCCTCCAATTAATATTTCAATATTGCTAAACATTTGACTTACACCATGCCCCTCTTCTGATGCCTAAAGGAGGTAAAATTAGGCTTGACATTTTCAGCAAAACATCTTCGTCTGCCGCCGTGTTTGGCGCAATTAATTGGTTTATGTACATCTGGTGATTGGGTGCAATTGCTCGAAGCTAGCCATGTATTCAGCAATATTCCATTTGCATTCTGTCAGCGGCGGTGGCATCCGAAATGATCGCATTTGACAACGCAGCGGCAATAGGGGGGAATGACGACGATGGCGCCTTTGCAGCTGGTGTCATCTTAAGCTAAGTCTTTGAGATGCGCTAATTGAAATGGGTAGCCGAATTGAACGAACGTCGTATTAATATAAGATTGCTGTGGCTGTTGGCTCGCAAATGAGCAAATGACTGCAAATGAGCCACACAAAGCGTGCTCTTTGTGGCAAATAAATTACGTTCCCTGCATATCAGCTGAACAATTTGTTTGCAAATATTGGCACTAGTAGAAAGCCCCAGAAGGCGGAGGCATGGGAGGCAGAAGTACTTTTGAGTAGGTGCATGCATTGTTCGTTGCGTCGTTGCTGTTCACAATGCTTCTTTAGCCAAAATTGTTTCAAAGCCACAATCAAAAGCAAATCCACAGTGTATAAGGTTTCTTATGACTTATTTGACAGGGTCCCGTTGCCTATAGACATCTATTTTTTTTTCAAAGGTTCTTTTAGCTCTCATTTGACAATTCTGATTACTAAGCCTTGCACGTTTGTGATAACTCGCCTTTATTCTCCTCCCTACAATCTCAGGTACAAATAAATCCCTATATAATTGGCGTGCCAACGCTTATTGAGTTTGCATATGTTTTATGATTTTATTTATTCGCTGACCAAATAAGGCTCCATATTAACAGAGGGTTTAGTGATTGATGAGGTGGGGTAAGGTAGATTTATGCACCAGGATAATGACTCAAACTCGGGTAACCGAAGTGATTCAAAAACGAATTTGGCAAAGATCGCCACGAGTCATCGCCCCTTCTAAACGATTGCCAAAAACAGCGAAGAAACAACAGAAACTGAAAAACATTTTTACGCCATTTTTGGAAGCCTGACACACGCACATACACAGCCAAGGTAAGGTGGCTGATTGGCAAGACGTGATTTTACTGTTGACTTTGGGTTTTGTGAGTCACTCTTCTCTATCCTCTGTTCTCCTCATCACCCTCACCTGGTCTTGAGAGCGTCGAAGAGATTTTCTCCACTCTGACTTGTATCAGCATTACTTTCCATTTCGATCTGTGTGGGCTGGCCCCACATTTCTCCACCTCTTTTGATACACTTTTGCGCGCCGCTGAGAAGTTCGCAGCAATCGCATTTAATGTTGGGCATATACATATTTAAATGGTACAACAAATAGCAAAAGCCGCATACTTAGTGCCCACGCCACTGTCTCGGTCCCAATCGCAATCGCAGTTATGTAGGCTGCCGCTTGATAGATACCACCAACGGATTCGGATTCGGATACAGATAGAGCAGCGTGTACAAATACATGCGTCCGCTGTTTATGGTACTGACCAACTTTAAAGCACATGTTTTTTAGATTGCCAGGCGTTTGTGCGAGTTTGGGCTACATTAACAAGGCCACTGAACATCAGTTGCCGATTTCTAGGTTGCTACTAACAGTATATGCAGCTCGAAAATGACCAACCATAAGCTCCGTAAATCATGCAAGTAAGATATGCCTCTATAGATCTCTCAGTAGCAGATACCCTATATACCTGTGATTCAAACAAAGCGGAGCCAAATCCAAAAATCCGCAAACTTACATTTTTAAATATTCGTATTTTATGAATTTAACTAATTCTCTGGGCTTACCCTCTTTTATTTACAGACATATTCCGGTCTTTTCTGCGTTGTGGTCAATCCCTACAAGAAACTACCAATATACACCGAAAAAATAATGGAACGCTACAAGGGCATAAAGCGACACGAAGTTCCTCCTCATGTATTTGCAATAACGGATAGTGCCTATAGAAACATGTTAGGTGGTAAGTATTCTGTAAGGCACCTCTAAAAGTAATTTTCGTGTTTACTTTAATCGCGCACTGGTATTGAGGGATATTCATTCAAATTGTATTCTCCACATAAACAAGCAAAAGTTATACCCAAACTAAGTTGATAAGATAAAACCTGGCCAAGTTTACTCAGTAAGACGGTTTTTCCACGAACCGAAAAACCTCACAAAGCTGCATTTGTGTTTCCTTCATTAGTAAAAGAGGGTGAATCACTTCCAAATATGTCCCTATTCATGACTGATTGTGTGTCTCCTAATCACAAACTGGTTGCTTTTTCTGCTTGCATTTCAAATGGAATTTTTTTTTTCGATTTCCTTTTCACTGAAGTTGCTCTTCAGTTCGGGCTTCAGTAAGTTTCAATGGTTTACATGCCTGTTTTGAGCGCAACGTGGCAGTAGGAGATGACTCACGCGGTGCTGGTAGTCTCCTGCTCGAGGCCAGACAATCTTACCGGGGCTCTACCTATAGGCTCTTGCTTGTGTGGGTATTGTGTATGTGTGACATCACCATATTTGGATCTAAAACTGAACTCAGCTCCGCTTGGACAGCAGCTTTGTTTGCTCCATCATCATCTTTGCTTTTGTCGTAGCCGTGGAAATGTTTAAACAAATCGTCACCTCACTCTGTTCACCGTTTTTAACGCTTAATAAATTTCTGTTTATGCATGATTGTATTTCTCCAGTATACCTTTCTTTTGAGAAGTTCACTTTTGCAGCCTTAAGGGAGTGGCAGTTTCCTTGATTTATTTCGCTGGTTTTAAATAATCTTAGCCCAACCCCATCGCCTTTGACATATACCATTGCCGCGAAACACGCACCACAATCAGTTCGAGGATTATCTGGAGACTGTGGAGCTGGACAATCGAGACACACCTTCAGTTTATGCAGATCCCCCGACTTGTGGCGATCGCAAGTCTTCCAACTCCAATAAACTTCAACTTCGCCATAAAAATTCCATTTCATACTGTATCTTGCGCTGTTCATAATATGCCAATGTCATATAAGTCTTGTTCACGATAAAATGACACGCCTTGACTTTGAATGCAATAATGTATAATAATATAATATAGCTACATAAGGGTCGGTTACCTAGCGTTGGACAGATGTTGTGCTTATCTTTATTTTTTCAGTTGTTTTAATCAGGAATTTATTTTGGGAGCGCATTGTTTTAATTGCCGCTTGATCAGCAATATATCTGCTGTATACATATATGTATGTATACCCACTTTTTTTGAAGAAATAATTTTAACTAAAAAAACCTCAAAATCAAATAAATATTCCCATAGAGTGATGTGTAGATTGAGATATTTCGGGCCTTTTATGGTCGGATATTGAATGTAGTATGTATAAATATGCAACCGGCTTTATCCATAATAATAAATAAGTACGGGGTCGTGATGTGGAAGCTGTGTGGAGCTCGGTGCCTAAAAATCATGGCAATCAGAGTAGAAATAAATGACTCGCTATGTCTCTATGCCTGAGTTTGTGGTTAACTCAATGCTGGATCGTATGACGAGGCTGCCATGTGGGTGGGGTGATCCCGGGGAGCAGTGCATATCTAGTTCGTTATATTCTAGATAGGATCATTGGCGCCATATCGATACCCATGTACAAAACAATTTACTGGGACCAGTTGCTGTTCGAATCTTTCAGATACATAGGCTGAAATCAACGGTTTTTGTTATCGGTTTATTTATTTATTATTTCTCGCCCGCCGCCAACCCCTTAGCTCTTTATATTCAGCGTATTCAGCTTTGTTTTTGCACTCTTGAATTTAGGTCAACAGAAACTTCAAGCTGAGCTTGGTGTTTTTCATTTTGTTAATTTTTTAGCTGGTCAAACGCATTGTTCCGTTCACGAAGTGTATCACTTGCTTAACGCTTCTCTCATATGCCCAGCTCACAGCCTTTTCTCTTTCTTCCCTGCAGATCGCGAAGACCAATCGATTTTGTGTACTGGCGAATCGGGTGCTGGCAAGACGGAGAACACCAAGAAGGTTATCCAGTTTCTAGCTTATGTGGCAGCCTCCAAACCCAAGGGCTCGGGTGCGGTAAGTACAGAAGTGTAGAAACCGAAACGCGTATATCTGAAAATCGAAGCAAATGCAAAGCTGTAGCTACTGACGGTGGAGAGTGCGTTGAAGTAATTTGTCGGAAAGTTCAGATACAGTTCCATATAGTTCTTCTGTTTGGAAAATGTCTATTAAACTAACATTAATAGCACGCAAACCCGACAAATTTCATTGTTTGCTATTGTAATTAATTGACGTTTGCAACGTTCGTGGTTGATGCACGACTTTTATATAAAAAGGTTACTGGACTGAAAATAGTTTTTAATGTTACTTCGAAACTTTGAATTTGTCTCAAAGTTACTAATGTAATTTTAGCCCGTATTAGTAAAGGGTTTATTTTGTTCGTTGAGCCGACAATATAATGTATATATATTCGTAATCAGGAATTCTAGACCTAGAAAAAAAGAACTTGAATTCAACGATTCAGAACCCTCAACTGATTTTCCCCATATGGTGGACGGTGGAGGGTTACGTTTTAATATTTGGATGGTTGATCACTTGGCAGCTGGCTTATGTGCTTTACAGGGGGCTGACGCACACTTCATTAATCAAGAGTCGTACGTTGCTGACAAATTTTGTAATTTACAGCAATAAAATAAACACCATTAAAAAGAAGCGAGAACTGAATTGTGGGGAATAGCAATTGACAAAAAAAACGAAAAGCCACATAGCGAACTACAATTTTTGTTACTGTTGGGTGTTCCAAAACCATAATTGGAAGAAATACTATTTTTTTATTTAATCCTTTTGAACACACAAGCTGGTCTTGAGCTCCAAACACACTTTTTGAAAACGAACGCATAAAACGTTTGCTACCTTATATGAGCCTTGTTTCTGCGACCGATGTTGATTCGACTTGACTGCTGAGAGCGTGATAGGTTGGCCATACACTAAGGAAATTTCCAAATTAGTGAAAAAAGAGAGAATGCTTATTTGTAATAGTCCAACATTGTAATGCCGATGTGGTACAAAAAAATTAATTCTTTCGATGAAAATGTATCAGTTAGCATCAGGTACTTCTATAAATAAACGCAGATGATTAATGATAATGATAGATGGCGAAGCCAAACAACAAATACTGAATCACTGGAAGTTATTGATACTGTTGCAGTCAATTGAATCGGAAAGAAAATAGTTTGTTTTAGAGTTATTTTTATCAGTCATAGATAAAAGAAGCGATAAGACTTTTGCCCGTGATATACCTTGCATTTGCTTTAACATTGGTATCGTCTTTTTCCTTTATTAAGTGAGCTAAGTTTAAATTTGTTTGCTTGATGCTGAGGATGACGCAAAAATAAAATTAATTACTTCTGATATATTTTATTATTTATTTATTGATCTTCTTTATTTTCATGTCCTACACACAAACACACCACAATGTCACACAACACACCTATAAATACACGCACACTCCCTTTACATTGGACATTGGTTGTTGCCTTCACTCTCAACTCTGCTCAATATGCTATACATATGTTTATATAATTTGTATATATAATCTGTATAAATCGCCGCCAAATATCACAATCAATCCAAATATCCAACAACCAAATCAAAACCGAACCTCAACACCTCCAACCAATTGCCAACAACTCTAACAGGTGCCTCATCCTGCCGTTCTCATTGTAAGTATTCTAGGAGTGACAAACCTTAAATGTTATCCCACTTTGTGTTTCGAAATTAACACTATTTTTTTAAGCATATTTAAAGTTTTGGTTTACTTGACATTGACCTATCCGCACATTTGTGTTTTACACAGTTTTTTGCATTCGATATTTTCAAATGTAACCTAAATCTAAGTATTAACCCTTTCCAAATGAAATCTCCCTACTCTTTGTTTTGTCTGCCCTGTTATCGTTCCAACCAAGCCAACATTCATCTACTCAATTTCATCTCTCTGCTCTGCTCTGCTCTGATCCGATCTGCTCTGCCCCCTCTTTGTACTACATATGCCAACGTAATTTTAGAGTAGTCATCAAGAGACATTTGCGGTAAAGTATGCTAAACGTACATCACTCCTGGACCTTTACAAATCATTTTGTAGTATTCTTGTATATTTAGACATTTATAGTACATCATTTTATTTTGTAGCCCAATAGTTTGATTTGTTTATATGATATCAAGACCAAATATGCCGAAGCGTGTGAATGATGCGACCCCTCAAGAAATCCTGAATATCCATCCCGTACCCCTTAACCCCATTCCTACCTAATTGCAGAACTTCTCGGTGAACACAAACAAGTACATTAGGGTCCAGATTGCGACCCAAAGTCAAAATCAGTCAATAAAGGTAGTCAATGGATTGAAGATGGTGAAAATTAATTCCAAGTATCCAGAGGTAATCTCCGGACAACGCCGCTGGGCCGGCATTGATATTGAGAAGCTGTAGGAGATCGTCCAGTGTTTATTGTCCTTCGTATAGTTTGGCTTTGGCTTCTTCCTGCATGTTTCTGTAGTCTAATCGTTGTTTATACATTTTGTGCTGCTTGTGATGTCTGTAGTTGTGTTAAAAATGTAGACTGCTTTCTTGTATGTTTTTGGCTAACACCTAACCTGTGAGTACGTAAAGCCCAAGGCCTTAACAACATCTTCATCTTTAAACAGGGTGAGTTGGAGCAACAACTGCTGCAGGCGAATCCCATACTGGAAGCCTTCGGCAACGCCAAGACCGTCAAAAACGATAACTCATCGCGTTTCGTGAGTAGTGACTTACCTTTCAAGCAAAAAAATTTGCTAAATAGCTTACCGTTTTGCAGGGCAAATTCATCAGGATTAATTTCGATGCCTCAGGCTTCATCTCGGGGGCCAATATCGAAACCTATCTTCTGGAGAAGTCTCGTGCCATTCGTCAAGCGAAGGACGAACGAACATTCCATATTTTTTACCAGTTGCTGGCGGGGGCTACACCGGAGCAGCGCGAGAAGTTTATACTAGATGACGTCAAGTCCTATGCATTCCTGTCCAATGGCAGTCTGCCCGTGCCCGGCGTGGACGACTACGCCGAGTTTCAGGCAACGGTCAAATCGATGAACATAATGGGCATGACGTCCGAGGACTTTAACTCGATATTCCGCATAGTAAGTGCCGTTCTTCTCTTCGGAAGCATGAAATTCCGTCAAGAACGTAACAACGACCAAGCTACGCTGCCGGACAACACGGTGGCCCAGAAGATCGCGCATCTACTCGGTCTTAGTGTTACGGACATGACTCGAGCCTTCCTGACGCCACGCATCAAAGTGGGTCGCGACTTTGTCACTAAAGCTCAGACAAAGGAGCAGGTTGAGTTCGCTGTAGAGGCCATTGCTAAAGCGTGCTACGAGCGCATGTTTAAGTGGCTGGTAAACCGCATTAACCGTTCCCTAGACCGCACTAAGCGCCAGGGTGCATCCTTCATCGGCATTCTCGACATGGCAGGCTTTGAAATATTTGAGCTAAACTCCTTCGAGCAGCTATGCATTAACTATACCAATGAAAAACTGCAGCAGCTATTCAACCATACCATGTTCATTTTGGAGCAAGAGGAGTACCAGCGCGAGGGCATTGAGTGGAAGTTCATCGACTTTGGACTGGACCTACAGCCTACCATAGATCTGATCGATAAACCCGGTGGCATAATGGCTCTGCTGGATGAGGAGTGCTGGTTCCCTAAGGCCACCGACAAGACCTTTGTTGACAAGCTAGTATCGGCCCACTCCATGCATCCAAAGTTTATGAAAACCGATTTCCGCGGTGTCGCTGACTTCGCTATCGTGCATTACGCTGGACGCGTTGACTACTCTGCAGCCAAGTGGCTCATGAAGAACATGGACCCGTTGAACGAGAACATTGTGTCGCTTCTGCAGGGTTCGCAGGATCCGTTCGTTGTGAACATCTGGAAGGATGCGGAGATCGTTGGCATGGCACAGCAGGCTCTCACTGATACCCAGTTTGGGGCCCGCACCCGCAAGGGCATGTTCCGTACCGTGTCCCATCTGTATAAGGAGCAGCTGGCAAAGTTGATGGACACGCTGCGTAACACGAACCCGAACTTTGTGCGCTGTATCATACCTAACCACGAGAAGCGCGCCGGCAAGATCGATGCTCCCTTGGTGCTCGACCAGTTGCGTTGCAATGGCGTGCTCGAGGGCATTCGCATCTGCCGGCAGGGCTTCCCTAATCGCATACCCTTCCAGGAGTTCCGCCAACGCTACGAACTGCTCACGCCTAATGTGATTCCCAAAGGTTTCATGGACGGAAAGAAGGCCTGCGAGAAGATGATTCAGGCGCTGGAGCTCGATTCGAACCTGTATCGAGTGGGTCAGTCGAAGATCTTTTTCCGCGCTGGTGTCCTCGCTCATTTAGAGGAGGAGCGTGATTTCAAGATTTCCGACCTGATCGTCAACTTCCAGGCCTTCTGCCGTGGCTTTCTCGCACGTCGCAACTACCAGAAACGCCTGCAGCAGCTTAACGCCATTCGTATTATCCAACGTAATTGTGCCGCCTACCTAAAGCTTCGCAACTGGCAATGGTGGCGTCTCTATACAAAAGTCAAGCCTCTATTAGAGGTAACTAAACAGGAAGAGAAGCTCGTTCAGAAAGAGGATGAGCTGAAGCAGGTGCGCGAGAAGCTTGATACTCTAGCCAAGAACACTCAGGAGTACGAGCGCAAGTACCAGCAAGCTCTGGTGGAGAAGACCACTCTAGCAGAACAGCTACAAGCCGAGATCGAACTATGCGCTGAAGCCGAGGAATCGCGTTCGCGCTTGATGGCGCGCAAACAGGAATTGGAGGATATGATGCAGGAGCTGGAGACGCGCATCGAGGAAGAGGAGGAACGTGTTCTTGCCCTAGGAGGCGAGAAAAAGAAATTGGAGCTGAATATTCAAGACCTTGAAGAACAGCTAGAGGAAGAGGAGGCCGCCCGTCAGAAATTACAATTAGAGAAGGTGCAGCTCGACGCCAAGATTAAAAAGCACGAAGAAGATCTCGCTCTTACTGACGACCAGAACCAAAAACTTCTAAAGGAGAAGAAACTGTTGGAAGAGCGAGCTAACGATCTGTCCCAGACCCTTGCTGAGGAGGAGGAGAAGGCAAAACACCTGGCAAAGCTGAAGGCCAAACACGAGGCAACGATTGCAGAGCTTGAGGAACGCATGCACAAGGATCAGCAGCAGCGACAGGAGTCCGATCGATCCAAGCGAAAAATCGAAACCGAAGTTGCAGACCTTAAAGAGCAGCTCAACGAGCGCCGTGTCCAGGTAGATGAGATGCAGGCTCAGCTGGCCAAGCGCGAGGAAGAACTTACTCAGACTTTGTTGCGAATCGACGAGGAATCTGCCACAAAGGCCGCCGCACAGAAGGCTCAGCGCGAGCTGGAGTCACAACTTGCCGAGATTCAGGAAGATCTAGAGGCGGAAAAGGCGGCGCGTGCCAAGGCGGAGAAGGTGAGACGCGACCTAAGTGAGGAACTGGAGGCCCTCAAGAATGAGTTGCTTGACTCCTTGGACACCACAGCAGGTAGGAATGACATTCCCCTCTTCGTCTATTAATTAATGAATTATCTGTACTGCATATACTTAAAACTTAATTAATTTGAAAATCAGCTCAACAGGAACTGCGTTCTAAGCGCGAACAAGAGTTGGCCACGCTAAAAAAGTCGCTGGAAGAGGAGACTGTAAACCACGAAAGTGTATTGGCCGATATGCGCCACAAACATTCGCAGGAGCTTAACGGCATTAACGACCAGCTAGAAAACCTTCGCAAAGCCAAGACAGTCCTTGAAAAGGCAAAAGGTACCTTGGAGGCCGAGAACGCTGACCTGGCCACTGAACTGCGTAGCGTCAACAGCTCTCGCCAAGAGAACGATCGCCGGCGCAAGCAGGCAGAATCGCAGATTGCTGAATTGCAGGTAAATATTGGCGCGAAAATAAAGCAGTATCTGAGCTGGTCGGAAGTGAAGATACTTTAGGATACATTCACTAATTGTCAAAATGTTCCACAGGTAAAGCTGGCTGAGATTGAACGTGCTCGTTCGGAACTGCAGGAGAAGTGCACAAAACTGCAACAGGAGGCAGAAAACATAACAAACCAGCTGGAGGAAGCAGAATTGAAGGCTTCGGCTGCAGTCAAGTCTGCGAGCAATATGGAATCGCAGCTCACAGAAGCTCAACAGCTGTTGGAGGAAGAAACGCGCCAGAAGTTGGGTCTCAGCTCAAAGCTGCGTCAGATCGAATCTGAAAAGGAAGCTCTGCAAGAGCAACTTGAGGAGGATGATGAAACGAAGCGCAACTTCGAACGTAAGCTGGCTGAGGTGACCGCCCAAATGCAGGAGATTAAGAAGAAGGCCGAAGAGGACGCGGATCTGGCCAAGGAACTGGAGGAGGGTAAAAAGCGACTTAATAAGGACATTGAGGCCTTGGAGCGTCAGGTCAAGGAACTTATTGCCCAGAATGACCGTCTCGATAAAAGCAAAAAGAAGATTCAATCAGAGCTTGAAGATGCCACCATTGAGTTGGAGGCGCAACGCACGAAGGTGAGTCTTTGTTTTGTTCCTAATCAAACACTATTTAACAATATTATGTGCCTCGACAGGTGCTGGAATTGGAGAAGAAACAAAAGAACTTCGACAAGATCCTTGCTGAGGAGAAAGCCATATCAGAACAGATTGCGCAGGAGCGCGACACTGCAGAACGGGAGGCACGTGAAAAGGAGACAAAGGTGCTGTCGGTTTCTCGCGAGCTAGACGAAGCCTTTGACAAGATAGAAGACCTCGAGAATAAGCGCAAGTCCCTCCAAAACGAGCTCGACGACCTGGCCAACACACAAGGCACTGCCGATAAGAACGTCCACGAACTGGAGAAGGCGAAGAGGGCGCTAGAGTCTCAACTGATTGAACTAAAAGCACAAAACGAAGAACTCGAAGACGATCTTCAGCTAACAGAAGACGCAAAACTGCGCCTTGAAGTCAACATGCAGGCCTTACGGTCCCAGTTCGAACGCGATTTGTTGGCTAAAGAAGAAGGCGCCGAGGAAAAAAGACGCGGACTTGTTAAGCAACTGAGGGATCTGGAGACCGAATTGGACGAGGAACGTAAACAGCGCACGGCCGCTGTGGCTGCGAAAAAGAAGTTGGAGGGTGACCTGAAGGAAATCGAGACCACAATGGAAATGCATAATAAGGTGAAGGAGGATGCATTGAAGCACGCGAAGAAGCTGCAAGCACAAGTCAAAGACGCATTGCGCGACGCCGAGGAGGCCAAGGCCGCCAAGGAGGAACTGCAGGCGTTAAGTAAGGAGGCCGAGCGTAAAGTAAAGGCTTTGGAGGCAGAAGTATTACAACTTACCGAGGATCTGGCCAGCTCAGAGAGGGCGCGCCGTGCTGCCGAAACGGAACGCGACGAGCTGGCCGAGGAAATCGCCAATAATGCCAATAAGGGGTCCTTGATGATCGATGAGAAGCGCCGATTGGAGGCCCGCATCGCCACACTTGAGGAGGAGCTGGAGGAGGAACAGTCCAACTCTGAGGTTCTGCTTGATCGTAGCCGCAAAGCGCAGTTGCAGATTGAGCAGTTGACCACAGAACTTGCCAATGAGAAATCCAATTCTCAGAAGAATGAAAACGGCCGAGCTCTGCTCGAACGCCAGAACAAGGAACTGAAGGCAAAACTAGCCGAAATCGAGACAGCGCAGCGCACTAAGGTAAAGGCCACGATCGCTACGCTCGAGGCCAAAATTGGAAACCTCGAGGAGCAGCTTGAGAACGAGGGCAAGGAACGGCTATCGCAGCAGAAGGCCAATCGCAAGATGGACAAGAAAATCAAGGAGCTAACGATGAACATCGAAGACGAACGAAGACATGTTGATCAGCACAAGGAGCAAATGGATAAGGTAAAGCAAAAAAAATGTTTTAAGGGTACGATATTAAAGATTTTTCGATTACAGCTGAACAGCCGCATTAAGCTGCTTAAGCGCAACCTGGACGAGACCGAAGAGGAGTTGCAGAAGGAAAAGACGCAGAAGCGCAAGTACCAGCGGGAATGCGAGGATATGATCGAATCGCAAGAAGCCATGAATCGTGAAATTAACTCTCTTAAAACGAAGCTACGGTAAGTTGTGGGCTGTGCTGGTTACATTTCCTTATAATAAGGGCGGGAGTCTCCCTTGGTGTCGCGCAGGGTTGCGTTTTTGATTATTGTTTGAAATTTATTTTTGGTTCAAGCTCCATACAAGTGGCCGAGACTGAAAAGGCCAAGGCATATTCTCCCAAAAAGGATGCCGCACTCATTATGAATTGTGAGGGTCTGCATTAGGTTTCGTTTCGCTTCGTTCCTTTTTCGTAGGCTGTAAGTGCTGCTGTACGCCATGATCCCTAGAATCAGTGAATGTTAACCGAACCCAGCAACCAAAACATCGTCTTCTGTTTGCATGTTAGGAACAAAATACGTCACCAAGCCTGGATTGCAAACTTCTGCTGTTTCCCAAACTTCCTTAAAAATAGTTCTTAGTCGTGAACAAATCGTACCCTCTGTTTAGACTTATCTGTTGCCCCTGCACGTTCTTCCATAACTAAGCAATCCATCGAAAACCCAAATATTTATTATTTATTGTAATTCCCTTCTTAGGCGTACCGGCGGCATCGGTATCAGCTCCAGCCGGCTCACGGGCACACCTTCATCGAAGCGCGCGGGAGGCGGAGGTGGCGGCGGTGGCGACGACTCATCGGTGCAGGATGAATCATTAGATGGAGAGGATTCTGGCAATTGACGAGTTAATTATTAAATGAACATAAAGTTGAAGCGGAGGAAGAAGGTGAAGATGATAAGCAAAATAAACGATTATATTTAATGTTTCTTTTATATAATTTCTCTGTTATTTTTTATATAAACTATTATTAAAACGTAAACAAACAAAACCATAATTTTTATAACGAAAAATATAAACTAAAAAGAAAATACAATGTTGTAAAACACTCCCACTATTTACAAATCATAAACACAATAATTTGACCATCCCTCGAACGGCTGCGGATTAAAGAAGCCAACGAAGTAAAGTTTATATATTAAACAGAAAAATTAGCAGTGAGACGCGTTAGCTCTGAACTACACAAACCATCAAAGATCATTTTAAAGAGACTAAATCAGCAAGACACTCATTTCCACATTTTTAGTAACCTATTAGAAGTAATCAATGCAATATGTAATTTATGCATTTAACAACTAAAATGGTTTTCAAAAAGAAACAACAGAAAATCAAATGTTGAACACAGAACTAATATACGAATTTTGTTTTTGTTTACAACTAAACAATAAAATATTTGCTACATGAAATATATATTTCTTTGGGAAATTCAACAAAAGCTAAAGTGTGGATAGCTTTAATTTATAGGTAATGAACAGTTTATTTAATATTTATACATATACGAGTACATATATACATCAGATTACTACAGACTAAAGGTAACTGGCGACTCTTTGTTTACGGCTATTTTATGATAAACACTGACAAATTCGAAAATCTCATTAAAGTTTGATCAACTTTCCCCATACCCGCCCCTAACTAACTAATGGCACTATAACGCGGCTCGATGGTGGCTTCCCTCTTGCACGTGAAGCGGCACGGGCATGTCGATGTGGTGCACCACAACGATTTCGCCGTTAAGTGCCTCCAGTTCAACAGAGGACTTGCTCTCCTGGAGCTGCTCCTCGCGCCTGCTGTTTAGGTAGTAAACAATGGCCACGATAAGGCTGAACGATGTCACCGATATAAGCAGGGTACCGTATTTGAGAGTCTGCTGAATGGCATTCAGGCCAAAGGTGCTTAGGTACAACTTGCGGAGCACCTCCTCGGAAAAGTCACCCGATGTGATCTCGATCCACATTAGAGGAAGAATAGTAGTGTTCTTCAGTCGATGCCCTTGATCTAGAAAAACAAGACTAATATAAAAATCGGTTCAAAGAAAATATCCTTCCTTTTTTGTTTATACTTCTAAGTATTGGTGTTTTGTCCAACATAATGTTGATCTGGACGCGTGATGCACCGCTGATGGGAAAGCCGAATCGAGGATGGATGTCGGCATAGGTCTGGTGCACCTGAGCATCCGGGTTTATACCGTCAAAGTCTTCGTATAGTACTGGATCGCCCGTAAAGAAGTGGGGAAACGACGGAAAGATGGGCGCATCTGCATAGCACTTGGTGGCGTTGATAACTCCGCTAGGCAGGCAGAGCTCCGTATTCTGACAGTAGCACTGATTTGCAGGATTTTCGGAGGGATGAGCGAACACATCCATAGGCGTCCGGTACCGCAAAACATCAATGTCATTGTAAATAGTAACTTCTTTTTCGAAATGCAGAGGAACCTTTCTGCACAGAACCTGAAGGAACACATTAACGGTGCTGCGATCCTGCAGTAAATGTGGCGAGAACATTGAGGGCTCCGACCCATCTATGCGATTGCACTCCTCCCCCTCCCAATAGTCCAACTTGGGCATTCCATTAAACTGGGTGATGATGCTGAACTTGTTAATGTCGTCCTCTCCCGTGTTGAGCTGAACCGAGTCCACGCTGGTTCCGTTACGCTAAAGAAGAGGCCTCCTTATTAAGCTTATAAACAATCAAATATATTTACATACGCTCATAAGAAGACCAAATCGGCGCCTGCCCTTGCCAAGGGACTCCAACTTAATGATTTTGTCTTCATAACCCCAGAGAAAATCGGAGACTGTGAGATTCTTGAATAGCGGCTCCTTAAATTGATTTATAAGACCCGAAACAAACCAACGTTTGAAGACTTTCATACGCTTAACAGGTCCAGCAGCAGAGATTAGTGGTACGTTGGGTACCCTAACTACTTCATTCTCGCCAATAGACGACTTTTCCGGCAAGAACTTATAAGACTTGCGGTCCTGAAAAATATAATCCATGTCAATATTTCCTAAAAAAGGCAACATTTTCGAACAGTGCAAATCTAAGTACATTTTTTGTATGGCATATCGGTGTATAATAAATTAAAACAAGTAAGTAATAATATAATCAAGAATAAAAGCATAATTTGTTTAGTGGAAGGAAACATACCCTAAAGCTAACCGTGAAGTTTTTATTAAATGAGACTTCATCTTTGACAGTGTGTTCTTGGTAGGTGAGTGGTCCCACATCCACGACCTTTATCTTATCGGCCTTCCCTGACAGGTATTCGTCGATGTTGGGGTAGTGAAAGATGTGTGCCTTTAGCAATGTATCATACTTCGATTCGGGGTTAAGCCAATTTTTGGCGGTATCCGAGTTTTCGGAAAGGATCAAATTCTGTAGATCAGTTAGAAATAGGAATTCCCTTAGTCAAAAAAATGCATTGGGGGACGTACCTCCAGCATGGTGTTGTTGTAGTATTCCGTGAACCACATTACGAAGAATCCAGTCACGCCGATTACAAAGAGCAGGAACATCAAGCCTAACACTGTAAAAGTCATAGCGGATTAATCGAGCATGCCAGAATTGTCAAGAGAATTCAGCTCACTTATCAGGGTGCCTATATCCTTGGACGTTGGCTCTCTGTTTTGTGCCTGATTGCGTAGGCCCAAGGCCTCAAATATCATTTGCAGTACAGAAGGCTTCACGGTTCCGTTTGTCATGGCATAGCCACCAAAGTTTTCCGCCCCCGGCCCGCTTCGTGTGGAGTCTAGTGTGAAGGACTTGCTCATGGATGGGGCCATTGCACGGCTGGATTCTTGCCTAGGAAGATGGGCCTCAGGGTCTTTGGAGCGTGACATTATAAGTTGACTGTAGAGGTTGATAGTCTTTCGTTGTAAGCTAAAAATGTAAATGTCGTTATTCTATGTTCTTATCAAATTATTATTTTGTTGTTGCTCAGGAACATACAACTTTTAGAAACTACATTATGATTTTTACATCTCAACGCTTATGCAAGATGCTGTTGACTTTTTTGCAAATCCAAATTTTGTTCATTCACATTGAATTAAAAAAAAATGTTTCTTTTTTTTAAAGCGAAACACGTGGCGTAACTAAGGGACTTTTTTCTTATGATTATCAGCTTATCAGCGTGCGATCTGTATATACGAATTCGGGGTCATTAAACACATAAAGGGACAGTCTTGACATCAGAGCACCCGTGATTTCATTGTTGAATACCTTTTTAGCGCACTAATAAATCCAACTTTAATATAATATTCATTCACTCATGAGGAACTTCTTTAGTTCAATTCGATCATTTGCGACGGACAGATTCTTAACCATGCGTTTACAGATGTTTTCACGAACTAATCGGGGGTTTAATTCAAAAAGCCTTCGTTGCTCCTCAAATCTGCGGCTCTGGCTGTGCTGAATTCAAAGTTCATCCGTATGTACTCTAGCCTTATCAGCATCTCCTACAAGTATATGTAGTACATACTTACTAGGCATTAATTCATTATTAAATCGAAACAACACATATCAGTAGGTTCACTATATGTATAGAGTTAGCTGTAGTTAGGTACGCCAACTATGAAATCGGGCCAACGACATCCGATAGGGCGCAACCTGAGTGTTTTTTTCCAATAGTACTCTATTGTAAGCGGGATTGAAAAATGATCACATGTATAAGGAACGACTAAATTGATAATTAGATTTGGGAGAGCACTTGGACTTTTTTCAAATTTATCGAAAAGATTTCTGTTTGGACATTTTTTTGCTATCAATCCCAGTTCATTTTAGGATTATTTACTAAGGCTTTTGTCTGGTTTAAAGACTTATTTTAATAACTATGTCCTATAGGTATCGAACAATTTTATCCGCTTGCTACTTACCTTTGGAGTTTTTGAACTCGGTGATGTTTACGACTTTCCACGGGGCTATTCCAAATCAGTGGCGAGTAAGTGGCATTGACTGATAACAAGGGGTGTGTGGGTGGGAGACTGACCGGGAGAGCAGAAAGAGAGAACGAGATCTCGAACAGCGTGCACTTGAAATGAGTTTTGGGGCACCAGCTGGTTTTTGGTGGGCAACGCAAACGTGCGCGCTACGTTGGAAACAAAACCACTCTCCCAGAGACAAACTGCACCCACACGCTTATCTTTAGCGCACTCTCTCACTTGCTCCCTACCCTTGTGCTCTATACTTTCAAAGACTGCCAAACATTTGGCGTCTTAATTAACAATTTCGTCGTGTTTACGTTGACTGAACACAGTCGTTTTCAGTACTCTCTTTACTTCATTGGCTTCTTGTCGTTTTTCCTCTGATATAGATGCTCCTACTGGATGCACAACTAATGTACGTATGTATGTATCTATGCTCAATATACTCGTTTTGTATCTGGTGTTTCTGTGTTTCTGTGATTCTCTGTTCTTTTTGCTGCCTTGCGTTCTTTGTTGCCAGCTCCTTTGTTTTGTCGCCTTCTCTTTTGTGCGCTCAATCGTTGTTGTTTTAGCTGCACTTGGAGTCGTTGTTGCAGTTGTGACTAGAAATAGAGCTGGTTTACAGCTAGAAGTGTCCTATTGTCCTCCACTTCCAGTGAGCATCGAAAATTAATAACGGACTGCTTTTTACGGAAATTGTTTATCTGCGCACAAAGTATGGCCCACTGCCACCGGTTAATCCACTTTCCAGTTGTTGGTTAGCTGCGATTAGCTACATACTTGGGCCTGCCCACGGATTATCTGACAGGGAACCCTACTGAACCGATTAGATTTCGCCCGTTTCGCGGAGATCTTCGCGGGAATTAGAGAGCGGGCCTGGAACTGGCATTGGTTCTCCGATGGTTGGGACTGTGCGTACTGCCCACCAAACAAGTTATTACTACGACGTCGGAATCGGACGGAATCAGTTCGAGCTGAACAATCGAGCAATGCTAGCAGCGCCGTCGCTCCTCTTTCCTCATTCTTCGGCGGCGCAGTGGTCGATGCTGCCTCGGCTGACTTCTCTGCCACGGCAGTGATAAGCGGGCGAAGCGGTCAGCGAAAATTGTTGATTAACGCTGGACAACGCTGGCGCTGACTGCGCCGTCGAGAAATTGGGATCTCTTGTTTACTACGTAGCAGCTTTGTGCGTACCCGCGAAACAAAGTACAAGCTCAATCGCCAACACAAAGAAGTCAGTCAGCACAGAGATAGAAGATGCATGATCTGTCCAGCTGCTCTATGCAGCTTCGTCGGCGTATAATTACTATCGAGTTAGGAGCTGCCGTAACCTATTTTTACCACTAAAAGATTGAAAATGGAGCGATTGGAGCGAAATCAAAGGAAACAGTATTTAATGTAATTTAATTTATATTATAAAAATGAAATTATACATTTTATTAAACGTCTCTGGAAAAAACTTTTTATTTTTGATTTACATACTTTTCCAAGATTGTATTTTTTTTTTTTTTTTTTTTTTTGATAAAGATTCAACACTACTTAAGGTGAACACATCTATTCCTATTCCTCCCAAAATTTTTTGAGTGTATTCTGATGAAAAGTTTGCCACCGAAAGTCTATTTATACATGTGCGCTGTTGCCAAAACAATTTAATTATCACTTAAGCACTTAAGGTTCCCTTTACTCATGGGCCTGCATTTGGTATTCCCAAGCAATTAACGACGGAGAAATGCACGAGTAGTCCGATGGATGCATGAATGCTAAAGGTGCTCCCATACTTTGTTTTCGTTTCGCCATATTTGGATGAGGACGCATTTAGAACAGCTTATCGAGCCTCTTTGTGTGTTCTTGAGCTAGCAAAAGGCCGGAAGATCTCAAATGCCCCCAACGTAGCCGTGTTATTGAACCCTACGCGTGTGTGCGAAGCATTTATCAGTTCAGTCAAGAGTTTACAATTAATCCGACGTTTCAAAACGTCCCTTGCCCGGAATCCCAGTCTGCTGCTCACTTCATCGCACTTCGCATCAATGTAGCTGATAGCCCCTCTGAACTTTTTGTTTTCCTCGGAATACATGACGTAGATAGGTATTCAATAGCTCTATTGCCGTGCCTGCTAATAGTCTCTCAATACCGGCTGAAATATTTGTAGGCTCGCTTAAACCATAGTTCGCCTTAATATGCGATCTTTTAGTGGCAAAGTGAACCGCAAATCAAGCAGATCTACAAATTTTAGCTGGTTTTGGAGTATTACCGCTTACAGAAATCTTATCATCAAGGGGAACCAGCTTATCAATCCGGTCGCCACGTAGTCAAGTGCCAAAAACTTCCCGCACACACGCAAATATAAATAAAATCTGCCTTAATATAAAAACCAAAATTTTTGGAAGTACTCCAAACTTATCTGAACTGCCCTGGATGGAGCTGTGATCATTGGCCATGCAGGTGGACGACATTCTGTATAGTAAGTCTGAAATGAAAACGTTTAAGAAGATTAACTTTGACACGACCTTTGAGGGTTGGGCGGGGGCAATTGATGACACGCCACCAGAGCTAAATTAACATATTTGTACGCAGTTGTTGTTGTCGCAATGTTTTGTTATTATTTATTGCATCATTTTCAGCAACAAATGCGCCATTTGGTACAATAGTTTACATAAACAAAAAGGTCGCATGCAACCCGGTTAGCCTTATTGGCATGCAAAGTCAGGTTTCGGGTAAGGTCACCAGTTAGGCCAGTGTGTGGTTGGACTTGGATTCCAAGCAGGCATTGGGTCACCAATGTTTTGGATTATCCTCTAACTTATTTAACGCTTCTTTATAATCGAATTTTCTGATCTAGAAATTGGTTGTAGTGAAGACAAAAACGCAACATTTTTATACAAATAAAGGCCAGCATATTTATTCTGTCTATTCATAAAAAATGTTTGCCTAATATGAGAACTGATAAAATAAGAACTGATAATTAAAACGAATGTTTGAGAAATGGCAAATGTTTAAATTGTCAGTCAAAACGAAGGTATATTTCGAATGTTTTTTATTGGAGCATCTTTTGATAGTTTTTATGTCAAGAGCTGACTTAAATACAGATTAGCTATATCAGTTTGGTTAATTCCTGTATTTTTAATAAAAATCACCTGACTCACCTGGGGAAATTATCCACTTGTTACTCGGAACTCCAACTGTGAAAACTTTACTATCTGGGAAATTTCTTGAATCGCTTTAGTATTATTGATTAGCTACTATGTAAATGCTGCAAGTTTATACCTTTTGTATATCCACAGCTGTTTTCGCGCATTTCCCAGCTCTCGCTTATGCTGAGCCCGAGTCTGATATATTTCTCATTCTGAACTGGCAGCGAACAAAAACTTTCGCAATGCCAGCGACAAAAGCTCCATCAGCAATAACAAAAATTTGTAATCGCTCTAGGTACTAACTTTGCATACATTCTTTGAGTTCAACTTGTCGTCGGTCGCCAGTGTTGTGGATACGGATGTGGTTGTTGTGCTGCGTTTGGCAACCATCCCGTGAGTCACTTGCTACAACAACTACGAGACATGCACCAGAGGCAGATATCATAATCGTTAAGAGTGGTCGAGTGTTGGTGTGGCAATCAATGAGATTTTGGAGTGTGCAGCATAAAACGGAACGCACAACGCAAGGCAGCCAAACGAAAGACTTCAATGCAAGGCAACAAACTTGTTTATCAACCAAGCCCAAACACTGTCCACCGCATGGGCCGCTTCGACCAATGCCGATGTAGTTGCCGATCCGATCGAGCTTTGATCGCATGCGTTGCACTCGCAAAAGCTTCCACTCGCTTACTCTCGCTTTTCCTACCTGGCGGTGGGTTGTGGGGTTTGCCTACCTGTTTATCAGGTTTTCGAGTTTCGCTTTGTCGCAACGCTGAGTCGAGCTTCTGTTAGAGCTTTCGCCGCCTGAACATCTTACGATCTTAAGTTGGGGGGCCACTTGAAGACGGCGACTTCAGTTACTTGGCGGCACTGCGAGTGTTCGATTCGTTGACGTTTTTTTCCGCCGGTTGCTTAACGTTCCCTGCTCACCGTTCACTGTTCACCGAGTACCTACCACATTATAGTTCGTGTCCAAGAATCTTGGTTTGTAAAAGAGACCGCCGCAAGTCAGTGTATCCGTCGAAACTCAGTGTGAGTGTGTCTTGGCCTGGCTATTTGTAAATGCCTGTGGTTTTCAGTCCGTCCAGCCCGTAACAAACCTGCCACACCAGCTAAAAGAAACCAGTAGCAGTGTGTTGGAACAGCAGTCGCATTCCTAGGAATCGCCTGGCTGCAACCAGAGTCCGATTGTCGTTCCTCCGCAGATCGCTGGCGGATCCTTGGACCCGGCCCGGGCCCTGTTCCCTAGACCGAATATGCTTTCCAGTCTCCAGCTTCGACTCCAATCAGACCGCTGGTTGAGCAAGACCTTGCCCAGTCAGCCAAAATGAAACCACTTCGACAGCGAGTTCGCTTAGCAGCGCTACAAAAGCGGAAAATCATTGAATTATGCTTTGGGGGCTTTGATTTGGTTTCTGATTCGGTTTCTGTGCTGCCTCCACGGCTAAACACTGTCTGCGGCCCTGCCAAAAGCGCATTTGACGTACGTGCATAGTTTTATGATTACTTGTGTGGAAAAAGTGAAATTTTGCTCTGCACTCCACTCGAGCTGCCACGAAGCAGCGGCTCAAAACGAAATTAAATAAAAAGTTTACCAAAACACACATTTACAAGACGCTAGCTCCGAAATCAAGCATGCGCAAGCAAGAAAACCTAAGATAAATACTCATAAATAAAGCGGATTGCAAGCTTTTGACCACATAACGATGACGATTATGTGAAGGTTGCAGCAGCCCCAGAGCTTTAGGCCATCTTCATTATGAAGTTGACTTTGCCTTACCGCTGTGCCCAGTTGATCATAAAATTGAGGTGACAATTGCCTGGCTTTGTCTTCGTCTGCTGTTGACACATTTCACTGCGAAAGCAACAGCAAACAAGACTCTGCTTCTGCACTTCTCCTACCGCAGCAAAACTGACCTACTGAAAGTCCAAGATGAGCCACTTTAGACCGCACATGCCAGTCACGCCACTGACGACGACATCAATGTTGGTTAAGGCCCAAATTTAAAACCCATTTCATTAACTACTATCAAATGCAGCCTAGGCACGAAAAACAGCAGGCTCACTTTTAGGCCGGCCACTGTCAATTGCCGCAATCAAAGGCAGAAGCTTCAAGTACCCATTACTGCAACGGAAGGGGGATGTATACAAACAAGAGAAGGGGAACACATGTACACAAAGTTTATCTATTCTTTTTCCAATTTTCTAAGCTCATACTTGATTGACCCTTAAACAAGCATTTTTACGCACCGTCTTATTTATTGATGGAATCGAACCAACCAATTTAATTGTTGGTTGCAGTTAAAAACTTGACAATGCAACCATCTTAGCTATTTAGAATCTTACATGTTTTCTATAACTCTGCAAGAGGCTGTTACGTCTTATTTAGGTCAGGGCAACTGCTTATTTATTTGTGCAATACTTAAACACAGTGAAATTATAAGGTGGATCAGATTGATTTCTGCGCCATCAAGCTGATCAGAGCAGAAGCAGCGGATGTCTTCACCACGATTCCACTTTCAGTTCGATTCACAATTCCAAACGTGTGTTTAGAAAGTAAGTTTCTATTGAAGTTGGGATTCTGGCCAGGCGATTCGCTTTAGCCACCGCAGCAGGCAGGCAAAGCAACCAGCAGCTGCTAATTGAACGACCACAACAAGTGAAACCAAAAAAAAAAATATATCTATTACATCAGCTATCGCATTTCGTTGGAATGCCGAAAAACGCTGTTGCCTGGTTTTGTTATTGTGATAGCTCGGTTTTGTGGAACTGGTGTGCCGTGTCTACTGTTTCCTATTTCACCGATTCACCGATTTGCATACTTTAGGGGAGCCTCTGGCTGCGTCCTAGAGTAAACACTTTGCCCAAGCTGAGTCACAAGGTCTGTGTAAACATTTGCGCTCAAATGAGAATTGTGACTACTTTGATTCCGAGCTGTGAGTAATTTCAAGGGTCCAGCCTTTTTGCGGACTATCAAAACCTAGTGGGCCGTAAACACAGAACCACAAATATAGTACTAAAAACAACTGAAAATATGGGTACACAGATTCGAAATTGAAATTACTGATTAATGTGACTCTCGCAGTTTGTCGCCAAAAATTCATTTCAGGTGAAATAATTATTGGTTAATTAGTATTCAATGGGCATCGGATCGGCAGCAGCGATGCCAACAATGGTGGCTCCAATACTCAGCACAATACACAAGCACATATATTCAAGCCCAGCTCGAGTTCGGCGAGCGACAACAGAGTCAGATGCGACCTTGTAGTGCTCGGAAAGCGCACTAAACTCGGCAAATAATAAAACTTCGTGTCTGTATGCGTTGATAGGGTAGAGCGAACTCAAAGTACAAAGTTTAGTACTCTTAGCTAAACCTGTAGAGAAATCATAAAGCTAATGGTCATTTCCGCAAGTAACTAAGAGTCGTAGACCATATTATTACTAAAAGTTCTGTGCGGTATAAAAGCTTACGTACTATAGTTCCATCTTAAGTCGTCCTACCTCATATCTCGGCGCATCGATAAGAGGCCGTTTGTATGCATTTCGGAGGAATCAAATTGAACGTCAAGGGACCGCTCAATCAAGTCGTAATTAAAATTTCTATTGTCTTCGTTCGTGCGTCGCCTATGAATGGCCCTCTGACCATTAGCCGAAATCCATTTGGCTTCAAGTCATTTTATTTGGCTTCATTTATAAATATGAATAATGGCAAACGGCGCTCTGCCTGGAATTGTCAATAATAAAAACGTTTCGGTTTACGCACTAAAGAAACGAAAATGTACGAGTATCTGATGAATTTTGCGCTTGCGCAGCCCTGGCCTCGGTCAAGGCCCCATCGCCAGGTCGACCTCTGCCGAGCCAGAGCCTGCCAGCCTACTAAAGAGCGCTTAATTACCCAAGGTCCGTCCCAGCCAGAAAGGGCGCATTGCTTGCTATTAGCCAGCACGAAAGATCTGTGAAACCTGGAGCTAGTCCCCCAGATTGACATGTTTTTTTTCGCTTTTGAGCGCTGTGATAAAGCAGTTTTTTGCCTAAATGCTCGAACATCGACAAAGTCATGTCAAAACAGCGCAAGGCTAACACGATCCAAAACGTGTCTGTGATCTTTGGGGCCGCGACATCTCTCCAAAATCTGGCATGTGCACATGTAAAGAGTGGAAAAAGACTAAGCGCAATTTGAGGGTGATCTTCATAATATGATGGCCAAGGCCCAATGCCGCTCAGAACCAAGAAGAAGTGGAATTGAATGATTACTTTCCTGTTTATCTGGCTGCCTGCTACTGGCAATTATAGATTAACAAGTCGAGACTACAATTTAACCGGTATTACGACTGGTCTGTCCGTGTATCTCTAGGCCGCTATAAAATCAACGCGATATGCTATATATATTATTTTATTTTGCATTTTAGTTAACAACTGCAAGGTGGGCTACTCTTGACTCTCTAGCACACGAATTCGTCATCATGAACGGTCCAAAACACAAGTTTTGCACAAAACTCTCCAGCACCTATCTCAGAAAATGGTGTAAGTATTCAATGGTGTAGATACAAAGCAAAGTTGTTTGGGTGTTGATACCGAGTCTCCCATAACATTAGCATCTGATTGAACGGCATTCTTTATATAAACAAAATTAGAATTCCCATTTTTACCTCAACTATCATTACAAGCCGATCAAACAACTTATGCAACTTATGAATGAAGGAATCGCAAGTGCTCAGTTTTAACTCCACGTGTCCAGTTCTGGTTTCTACCCGAAGCTATGCACGCTCGAAAGGACGGGTTAGACTGGTATATTGCACAAAAAATGTATACGATAATTTGAATGTCTGCCTTCCTATTTACCTTTACTATAACTTACTTATTACTTACATACATTCTGAGCTGTAACTTTCCAGAGCTCTTCTGCCAAGAATACCCCGAATCCGGTTAAAGTTAAAAGTAAACTTTCCAGTTCTGGCTACTCAGCATCTACAATTTGTGTACAATTACTCAATAACAACTAATTGGGCATATTTATAGATAAAATGCCTGATCATCTGAGAGTTAAAGGTCAAAGGGTCAGTGATTCATTCGAGTTGCTCGATCCGCCTTTAATTATTTATATTTGCCAACTCAGATATAACATCCGATCAAATCCAATACATTTTTAAAGCTGTTGAACACACTATTAATAATTGACTCATTCCACTTCATATTCCTTATTCATTTATGCATTTTGTAAGCAATTGTTGAACGATTTGCTTTGATTCTCCAGGGATTACGATCGTTGTAGCATCAGCGCTGATAATTGGCGGCATTGTAGTGGCCTGTGAATTCTCCGTACTGATCAATGCAGTGGTGGACCGTATGGTGGCCCTGCGTCCCGGCGCTAAGACCTTTGGCTGGTGGGCTAAGCCACCGGTGGAGCCCAGAATCAGCTTGTACATTTACAATGTAACCAATGCGGACGACTTTCTCAGCAACGGCTCCAAGGCCATTGTCGATGAGGTAGGGCCGTACGTTTATAGGTAAGTGATCTTCGTTTGCAACAAATACAATATCAATCTCCAACTAGTACTTCATTTGCAGCGAAACCTGGGAAAAGGTTAACATCGTGGAGAATGACAATGGTACACTGAGCTACAATCTGCGCAAAATTTACTCGTTCCGTGAAGATCTATCTGTGGGACCCGAAGACGACGTCGTTATTGTGCCCAACATTCCCATGCTGAGTGCCACATCGCAGAGCAAGCACGCGGCTCGGTAAGTATTCCTCCTCCTGACTAAAGTCCCTATGGTTGACCTTGATCTTGTCCAATTTAGATTCCTTCGTTTGGCCATGGCCAGCATAATGGACATACTTAAGATTAAACCGTTCGTCCAGGTGTCCGTGGGTCAGTTGCTCTGGGGCTATGAGGACCCGCTGCTTAAGCTGGCAAAGGATGTGGTGCCCAAGGAGCAGAAGCTGCCATATGAGGAGTTTGGCCTACTATATGGCAAAAATGGCACGTCCTCCGACCGCGTCACTGTAAACACTGGCGTTGACGACATTAAAAAATACGGCATTATCGATAACTTTAACGGCCGCACCCATCTGCCCCACTGGACCACTGACGCATGTAACACCTTGGCGGGAACAGATGGCTCCATTTTCCCGCCCCACATCGACCACGACCGCATCCTGTATGTTTACGACAAGGATCTATGCCGCTTGCTGCCCTTGGTATTTGAGAAGGAAGTGATGACTTCAAACGAGGTGCCTGGATTCCGCTTTACTCCCCCAGAGTGGGTTTTCGCAGACGTGGACAGCCATCCGGACAACATGTGTTTCTGCCCCGCAGGGAAGCCCTCATGCTCTCCCAACGGACTCTTCAACGTTTCGCTGTGCCAATACGGTAAGAATGAATTTAACTGTGTTCAACCAAGTATATTAATTAATTTTCCTGTAGATTCTCCCATCATGCTAAGTTTCCCTCACTTCTATCTGGCCGATGACAGTCTGAGAACGCAAGTGGATGGTATTTCTCCACCCATGAAGGAAAAACACCAGTTCTTCTTTGACGTCCAGCCTGTAAGTCCCAAAACCTAAACACCTCCGAAGTATATGCTAATTATTATTATATTTTTGCAGAAAATGGGAACCACCCTTAGAGTGCGCGCCCGTATTCAGATCAACTTAGCCGTAAGCCAGGTCTTTGACATTAAACAGGTTGCCAACTTCCCGGACATTATCTTTCCCATCCTGTGGTTCGAGGAAGGGATAGACAACCTGCCCGATGAGGTCACTGACCTGATGCGCTTCGCCGAACAAGTGCCGCCCAAGATCCGCCTGGCGCTTATCGTTGGCCTATGCGCCCTCGGCGTGGTCCTGCTGCTGCTGTCGACCTTCTGTCTTATCCGCAACTCACACCGGCAGAGCACCCTGCACCTGGAGGGCTCCAATTACCTGGCCACAGCACAGGTGGATATGAACAAGAAGCAGAACAAGGATAACCAACCCGGCAGATACTAGGCGCTCTAGTCGGAGTCTGGTCACAGTCCAAGGGTTTCCGGGTGTCTTAGTTTAGTTCAAGGCGTAGATAGGAACTGGGTCTAGCTCATCTCACTTCCTCTTTCCAATCCCCATTTGCATGCCCATTTCCAAGCCCATGACCGAAGGGAATGTACGTCTCTATAGTTTAGAAGAATTGGAGCTGGGAAGACTTGTATGTATGTATTTGTATGTGTATCTTTATCTATTGTATTGTATGTAGGTTACCTATGTAAGTAAGCGTTATAAAAATTTGTATGTGTAATCTAACGAAACAGTCGTGATCACTAAAAGCCTCAAAGCTTCTACTTAGACATTTATTTGTTATACCAAATCAAAAACATATTCCATACTTGCTTTATATTTCGCTGTTGAAATTTAATGTCCAGACAGTCAAGTCACAAAACTCGAAACGTTTCTCAAATAAAACAAGTTCCGTCCTCGAATACAAATGTGCTTCATTAGACAAAATGCTGGACAAGCTCCGCATAGAAAATGTATACTCAATAAATACATAATTCTATCGACCGAATTTACAATTTATATGCATAGATGTGTACAATAAACTACTTTATTATTTTTAAAAACATCGACCACAATCTTCATATGATCCATATATGGTATACCTTGAAAGCTGTATAATTTTCGGAGATCGTTATTTTTTAGACTATCCAGAATATTGATCAAATTATCTATATGGCAGCTAGTCAGATTCTGCTTTAATAAAATCTAATATTTGGCTATACTGATTGAATAGTTTTTAGAAATAATATTTAAAGAAATATTTGTTTTGTTCGCAAAATAAAGTTGGGTAGAATTGGTCGGAACATTTTTAATTTGAATATAGGTCGAAAGTATATGTTAGAAAATGCGGTAAAAGTTTCCAATTCGGTTCTTATTTTCTCCATTTTTATTTTCGATTCTGACTTAAGTAACCTGAACCAATTCTGAGTCATCCCAAAAGTATGCTATTTTAAACCGTCCCGACCATCAAAAAGTCTGAATTTAATGTTAATAATCAATTAAAAACAAATACGATAATCAACATTTCAGTGAATTTATTATTAATAATTAATATGGCGTGCAGATATTCTTGAGTTTTCTTATAACGGGTCATATTCTATCTTATAGGCACGGCACTCGATTTATGTTACTTTTCCGTCCTAAAGGTACAACATAACAAAATTCTACTAAGCCCAAAGAACCAACATTAAATTATTTCTTTTTGGCTTTTATTAGGAGCGTTGTTTGTTTGAGATGTACGAGTAGTCCCTAAAAAATTTTAAAACAATCCATCAGGTTTTTAAATAAATAAAGATTCTGAGCGTAGACAAGATCAAAAGACAAGCTAAGCCTACACGTTAATGGCGAGAGATTTGTTTCGTTGCATGTTTGGCTGCCCAGGGCACTGATAACACCAGGGTGCTCTGTCTGTGCCTGATAAGACCACCGCTGCCGGATCCCCAGGACAGAGTCGGCTGTTCCACTGCAAGTCATCCGGACCTGATACATATCAAGGTCAGCTTAAATTCCGGTGGGGTCTGAATGGCGATATATGTATGGGCAGTATGGCAAGTATATCCTGCAAAGCCGATCCCAACAATTTTTATGTTCGGGTCAAAGATTTGTTTGTCTTATCACTGTTATTCCCCATAGTCGGCATAAGCCACATCACCCTCCTGTGTTTGCTGATAGCCTTTCTGCTATTTCGCTATATACTTTGTTTTTAAATTAAACAGAATCAAATGTGAGGCTGGTGATAAGTGATTGTAAAGCCATTCCCAAACTTTGATTAGAATTCGTCTCAAACGAATCGCGTGCTTTTTCTCGATCGGACGTAAATCTCGTCTCTGGTTTGCGTCCTTAGCCCTAAAATGAAGTTTGTTCAGTGGGTGAAAATAGTGCTCTGCGTGATCCTTGCGGCCCTTAATATCATCCTCTTTGTGGTGTCATGTGGCGTAGACTACCCCATCCTGGTGGCCAGGGAGCATGTTCGCTTCCGCCAGGAGATGCCTACCATGGACAGTTGGATAAACTCGCCGTTTGGGAAACTGAAAAACTATGTATTCAACGTGACCAACGCCGAGGAGTTTCAAAGCGGCCGTGATACCAAGTTAAAGGTACAGGAGATAGGTCCTATTGTGTACAAAATCGTAGGGTTCAATGACATCTTGGAGCGAAATGCGACAAATGTTAAGTACCGCAAGCACCGTTACCGCGTAGTAGAGTTTCTCCCGGAGGAGAGTGTGGCTCCAGACGTCCTGAACTGGACCATAACGTCCACCAATAACGTGATGTTAGGCGCAGCATCGAAGTTGAAACATACTTTGCCGCTTTTGGCCATCGGTTTCGATACCATGTTCACGATGGAGAGTATTTTTGTCACCGACAGCGTCTATTACTTTCTGTGGGAGTTTACACGACCTTTGTTAAAACATTTATCTAAAGTTTCCGACATAAAACCCAACGTCGCGGTACTGCACAACGTAAGTGGAGTGGAGAATATTACCTATTTATATTCTAGCTAAGCTATTCCCTCAGGCTCTTAAGGAGAAGGAGGAGGTATATACAGTCAACATTGGCCCGGAGCGCGGCATTAAGAACTTCTTCCGTATCGAAACGCTTAACGACGAGGTCATCATCCGGGAGCAACGTCCGCACACTCGTCGTTACGACTCTGACTCTTGTCCCTTCAATGTGACCGGCGCCCTGGATAACTCCCTCTTCCCACCTTTTGTCCGCCCAGAAACACCACTGGACATAGTGGCTATCGAGTCTTGTCGAGTCCTTCCTCTCACCTACCAGCGCAAGCAGCGCTACAACGGCCTTGACACATTTCGCTACACACTGCTTCAGGCCAACCAGAAACCTCCGCAATGTCTGGATACCAGTTACGGAATTAAGCTGCACGACGGGATGTTCGATGTATCCCAGTGTGTGATAAGTACGCGTGTAAACCAAACTTTTTTGTACCCAAATAACCCACCTTGAATTGGTAGCTCGTTGATGTTGTAACCCACAACTCTATTTTTCCCACAGATGACGCTCCATCTGCGTTTTCTATGCCGCACTTTTTCGGAAGCAGCTACAACTGGAGCGAGCACTACGAAGGATACACGCCTAACGCCGATGACCACGAACCCTATATTCTGCTGGAGCCTGTCACCGGCATTCCTGTGACGGAGAAGTATCGCTTTCAGTCTAATATTCCCATTCCGGATCTTAGGACGTTTAGCCCTCGCCTAAATAGATTTAGCAACATGATGATCCCCAGCTTCTGGTATGAGTTTGTAAGTTCCGCACTGCACGATTCGGAATGTGATATGTGTACTAAAGTTTTGAAACCTTTTCAGGAAATGGGGCAGCTGCCTGGCTTCGTTACCGCCCTAATGTGGATCAACGTAAACATCGTGGCTCACATGCAGCCGTACTGCATGGGCTTATACCTATTATTGGCATTGTGGAGCGTTCTGAAGGCGATCCGAGTGGCCTGCGGCGATATTGGCTATGCGGGTTTGCGAAAGGCGTGCTGTGGCGAAATGGGCACCACCACCGCTCTGGAAACCAATTTCCAGGCAAACGCTTCCTCCTTTGATGTGGCTGTCAAATAGTGTCTGTTGATGTGATTTACTTCCCAGTCCCGTGTTTAAATATATATAAAAAAATTTAGGTTTAGGCTAGAGGTGTTGCTACTGATCCATTATCAGTAGTTCGTCGTTACTTAATACACAACTAAGAAAATTGAATGTGCCTCATTTAACCTTATCTGTCAGACGACCACACGGCCTGGCTTAGGCGAGTCTCCTTCCGTTGGTCTATTGCCGGCACATTCCTTGTTCTGGCGAGTTAAGGTCGAGTATCTGGGTTCCATTCACTCCTTTACTGCTGCCACTCGTTGTGACACTGAAAACTTGGACACGTACAGGGCTTAAGATTAATTTTTTGTTTTATTTAATATGTGAATTTGTTTTCTTATTGCCTGTATTTCTTCAACCTCTGAGCCGCCGTTGTGGATTTTGCGGTTTGTTTACTTTTGTTTCGCTTTGTTAACTTCACCTTCCTGAGCCTGAACTTTTGAACATGCCTCATGATCTTCCCTGGCTGCGATGCTGATGCCCTGTCCGACTTCAAGGTAAGCCACCCTTGGTGCCCTTGCCCCCCTATATGACAACACGCCATGGAGTTTTTTCCTTTCCGACGACTCTTAATTTGCATAAATCGATATCTCCAGCGCTCGAGGCTAAGGATGCCCCAATTTAAATGTTAATCACTGCGTACAACCAGAAAGTTGTTTGTATAATTGGCACGAGTGTTATGTCACAGGTGGAGAGACCAAGCGGTGATTTATTGACCTCCCTACCCCAGACCGAGTTGAGAAGATCCACCGAGCCAGCGTATCACTAGAATCGACCGCGTCAGAGTCGTAAAAATGCTCATAATTGTACGAGGCTATAAAGTATATTTTGGCTTTATGGCCAATTATTTTTGGCCCCACCAGACTAGAATAATCAGCTTGAACTAAGCTCCATTAGCGAGCTCTCTTCAGAGTGTAGCCGACCGCCGGGGCTGCCTAAAAAACACCCAGTCATGGCGAGCTATCCGAAATGTCCATCGGGACAGGGGTAAATCCCCATTACTCAGGCCAGACCTGTTGGAATCGATCGGACTGCGCCAAAACAAAACCCAATCACACACGCCCGTCCGAAGAGCTTTCGAAATCTGGTTAAGTCTAGACTGGTGCGTGCGATTCATGACGCCAAATATAATTAAAAGGGAAATGGAAATGCATAAAATGATTACAACACAGCGACAACAACGTTAGCAATACCAAGCGCGCTCGTTAAGTCGAGAAAGAGTCGGATCCCGAACTTCAAGCGGCAGCTGCAAGTCTCGGAGCAACTTAGACCGACTGGCAAAATCAACATGTAAATTTCAATTTTCACGTACGTCAATGCTTTCCTACGAATTTCCTACGTGAACGGGTAAACAAACGGTTGGTGTGTGAGAGATAAATCTGTGATAAAACTCCTATTCCATTCCACCCTTTGAACCGCTGGCTCGACTTTCAGACCGCTTACCGAAATTCGGCTGAAAAAACCTTAAGTCAGTCATCCAAAATCCGGTTCGGGTTGTCAGCTTTGGCTTTACACTGCTCCGCGACATTGGTCAAACCCGACGATACCTCCACGCCATCTAAAGCTCACGCCACCAGAGAGCGAGCAATTGCGCTCAGTGTAGGAGCCGTTAAAGCCCCTAGTATAAAAGCCAGGGCAACAGGCTAACTGCTCGCAATCTAAGCTGTGCCTTCAAACACACCACAACCAGGCAACCGAAAACCTCCGGAAGAGATGTAAGTAAACCGTTTAGCAGTGTTTAGTATGGCTAAACGCCCAAAAGGAAATGAGGAAAATCGTACTACTGATTTCGAATCATGGCAAGCCCGCACCGATTGCATAAACCATAGTAACTTGCTATTGGGCTGGGATTTGAATATAAGCCACAAAGAAGTCGAAAGTGACTATGCCGACGTGGACGTGAAATTGTGAAATCTTCTTTATAAAATATTGAAACCAAACGATCGCCAATTAGTATGCATACGCTATATTTATGTCAAGGGCCATAAATAGACATAAAAAGTTGGGGAGCTCAGCTATAGTCTCTAATAATTCTATTAGAAAGATGCTTTCAGAAAAAAGAGGTTGGGGCTTAGAACCAAATAGTGCTTTCTTTTTTTACTTGCTAACCCGAAACTCGCTTGTCTTTGCAGCACATCCCCTAAAATGAAGGCCTCTCTTGCTATCGTGTTTTGCGTGATTGCCGGTCTGGCGACCGCCGCTCCTGAGAAGCAGTACACAAACAAGTTCGACAACGTAAATGTGGATGATGTTCTAGGCAACAACCGTGTACTGAACAACTACCTAAAGTGTTTAATGGATAAGGGACCGTGCACGCCGGAGGGCCGCGAACTGAAACGTCTTCTGCCCGACGCTTTGCAGTCTGATTGCTCTAAATGTACCGAAGTCCAGCGCCGTAACTCCCAGAAGGTGATAAACTTCCTGCGCGCCAACAAGGCCGGCGAATGGAAACTATTGCTGGACAAGTACGACCCCAAGGGCATCTATAGGGCAAAGCACGAAGGACATTAATCTTTACATAATTCCAAAGCTACAAGCACTCATTTCACAAGAACTTAAATTAATTCAGAGATCCACATTAAAGATTTTAGTTTTTTATACCTAAATTCGGTAAACTAAACTTTTATTCCAACAAAGTGTAAGCTTAATATCGTCTAGGATGCGGCGAACAGTGGCGGTATATGAAAACCCGTAACCAGGTGTTATTTGCTCTCGTTGATAAGGTCGATGGCCCTAAACTGATTGGCCACATTGATTGTCCAGTCAGAATGCTGTCCAGCGGTAAATTCCTTCACAAATCGATAATTGCAGATAAATACCTTATCCTGATACTCAGGCAGGGTCCTACAATACATTAATTACGGCATTGGGACGACTTCAGGACAAAAGCTTGACTTACTAACCCCATATTCCAGGGTACCTCCTCGCCCCGCTCTCTCATCTCGGACAAACCACGCATCACATGGAACACCATTGTTATCTCAACAAAGCGCTTCTGCAGTTTGTCATTGGCCTCGTCGAACATAATGCCCACCTGGTAGGGGAAACTGAGGTAGATGTCGCTCTCCTTGATCTCCAGCTGCCGGCGCTGCGTCATTGACAGCTTCTGGATCACAGGGCGCAGCTCGGCAATCGCCTCGGCAGATACCAGCTTTTCCAGAGAATCCAGGTCACCGCCCATCATTTTTGAGGAGACGACCTGGAAAGGATTACGCTTAAAATCCTTATAATAGCCGGACTATGGACCCACCTGCAGAGCTTGCTTGGCGCCGTATATAAAGTCCTTGAGCTGAAACTCACTGTCAAAGTACGGTCGAATAATAAACTGAATGGTAATCCAGTTCTTGAGGGTATTCAGCGCCGAGGGCCACACAATTTCAGGAAAGTCCATAAGGCGGGGCAGTCTGTTGGGGCTTTCTCTGGACTCTTGCTCCTGTGGCAGTAAGGCGAAGGACCGTCTGGCACCCGCGAGCTGTCCCTTGCAGGCTGAAAGTGTGGATTTTGTCTGCAGATGCGTCAGGGATGACCGGACCATGCCCAGGCTGCATCTAAGCGTGTTTTGCATTGCGCACACCCCTTGTTTATAACTGTTTAGGCACAATTAAGCTTTAAAAGTTATTTTGTAATAATAAATTATTACATTAGCTTATTTTGTTATTGCAAATCAGTTTAGTGTGACCAAAGGTTAACCATTAAAGTATACCAAGTATACATTATGGATTTCAAAGAAATGATTATATGTATTTAAAAACGGTTATTAAAAACATAATGATAATAATGACTATAATACTGAACCATTCATCTCTTAAATTAATTTTATTTATGTTTTTAAAAGCTTTATATATTCATAAAAACTTTTGCTGTTCAACGATGAAAAAAAATTATACTGAGATTTCGGCGGAAAAATATGCATCTTAAAAAAATTAAATCGTCTAACTTAGTTTTTTAGTTTTAGCCGTCGAGCTCAAAGAACATCCGTCAGCCATTGCCACTCTGTTAAAATACTGAACTGCTGCCAAACATCCGAGGTATCTTTCGATATATCGATAAATGCGACCACCAGAAAATGGTGCTCGCTTCCGGCTGTCAAATTTTTCTTTCTTTCCCAGCCACGACGAGCACGGGTCGACAGCATGAGGTAGATTTGAGTTTATAAATATGTGTGGAATGATACACTCGCGTTATCAAATTGTGTGCAAGGCGTTCCGGTGCCTAGGGCGCTACTCTGCGAATGCGGAAAATTCCGAGTGCTATTTAGTTTATTCAGCAATTGTGAAATAACTAAACGAGCGCCCCTCACCAACAACCCACACACACACATACACATATAAATTATAACGTGCTATATTGGTTTCAAACGACTAACAAATACCTATCCATTACAGTTCTCTAAAGCTCCAAAAGAGGCTCGCAGCCTCCGTACTGCGATGCGGCAAGAAAAAGGTCTGGTTGGACCCCAATGAGATCAACGAGATCGCCAACACAAACTCGCGTAAGTTAATTTGCGCCCAGTGAAGCAGACTGCAACTAACTCCCGAATTGTCTCCCATTGCAGGTCAGAACATCCGTAAGCTTATAAAGGATGGTCTAATCATCAAGAAGCCCGTCGTAGTCCACTCCCGCTACCGTGTGCGCAAGAACACCGAGGCTCGTCGCAAAGGCCGCCACTGTGGATTCGGAAAGCGCAAGGGTACTGCAAACGCCCGCATGCCAACCAAGTTGGTGTGGATGCAGCGTCAACGAGTCCTCCGCCGCCTACTGAAAAAGTACCGTGACAGCAAGAAGATTGACAGGCACTTGTACCACGACCTGTACATGAAGTGCAAGGGTAACGTGTTCAAGAACAAGCGTGTCCTTATGGAGTACATCCACAAGAAGAAGGCCGAGAAACAGCGCAGCAAGATGCTGGCTGACCAAGCCGAGGCTCGCCGACAGAAGGTGCGCGAGGCCCGCAAGCGCCGCGAGGAACGCATTGCTACTAAGAAACAGGAACTTATTGCCCTGCACGCCAAGGAGGATGAGATCGCCGCCAAGGCCGCCACCGCGGGTCACTAAGAAGTCCGGCTTCGGTTGTAGACGTACCCCATATTAATAGTACTGTTTGTCATCTGAATAAAACAACTTTAGTTTGGCCGAAATAATTTTGTACAAACGTAAAATGATCTCGCTTCTTATTGCCTGTAATTTACAGACAGACTTAAGGGAATTTATAAAACTCATTCTCTAATTAGCATTTTAATTCTGCATACAAAGTGTTATAATTTGGCTACAGAACACGGATTAAAATCTGTTTACCTAAAATTAGGTATAGGAACGATTTAGATCTACTTTTTAAATTCAAATTGTATAACATTTGTTTGATTTCCATGATCTACAACTATCAGTTTCACGTTTATGATTAAATTAAGTTCTAGTATTAATGATGGTTTTTACAAATTTTATAACTCACCGTTAAACCTTCTTTTAGGTAAAGTTAAGATGGATTGTTTGAAGACTTTCATCATTTAATTAGTTTTTTATTTTAATGGTTGTTGTTTCGGGGCTTACCTATTTAGCCTGTTTCATATCGGAGGTCCTCAAAATTAAATATTGTCTACATTGTTAATTATAGCATTTAGCTTTCTATTGGCTAAAATCAGCAAATCGGTGTTTTGGTACCAAATATATTTCCAAGCTAAATATGTAAAAAGCTTTTCTTCAGTTCCAGCGTTGCCGTCAAGTAAACCGGTAAAGCTTTTACGATTCTCTTTGGCCACACTAGTGGGTGGGATTGGCGGCCATTAAGTATTGAACTTCAGAACAAATAATAAGTAAGCTGTAAAGACAAAAATAGCGATGAATTTCCAAGACTTTTTGATAAATGCCATTGATACATGTAAAAGTAAGTACATAGCCATCCCAGAGCAGGAGAAAGAAAGATACGGTAAGCATTTCGAAGCATTGTGTTCTAAAATATTTGGAATATTAAGATCGGAGAACCCACACCTAGACAGCCTCATCGCAGAGTATAGTTTGGAAGGTATGTTCTGGAAGACGGCCTAATGGATCTACGTCACCTGCAAGGCGTGTGACTCACTTACTGAGTTTATTCCCATCACCGTTCACATATCCCTTATCATATTCCCGTTCCCACCATGTATCAGAGCACTCGTCACCTCGATAAGAACTGCACTCCGGTTGTAAAAATAAATACATTTGTATGTACACATTTTTCCTTATCGAAATTCGGTTGTATTATATCTGAGCCTAGAATCCTTGTGCCTCGCGTTTCGTCTTTATCCTACCGCGTCGCGTTTCTCGATCGTAACTTACGGTGTAGTTTCCGATTAATTTTGCAGGGAGCACGGGAGATATGTTAAAAGTCGCGAAACCCAACGAATTCGATTTAGTTTTTAAGCTGCAAATTCCGTATTACGAAAGCATCATCGTGTCGCGAGATTCTAATATTCCGGGCAATGTATTTCTCGACATGACGCGCGTTTTAAAACTTCTTGAAGAGAATCCCCGCGAGGATTACCAGAGATTTCGAAAATTGCTTCAGGTACAATTAGTCAACGCGCAAAACTTCCTCGACGTTGATAAGCTTTGTTCCTGGCTTCAAAGTCTTTTTTCCCGATCTCTCAACCGTATCGCGAACTGCTTGGAGGTGGATGGTATTTTGTCTCAACTGAAATATAGGATATGTGGGCCGGCCCACACCATTTTTGTTAATGGAGATCTGGAGTACTCGGTCGACTTTGTACCAGCCATTCGTTTGGGGGCCACACAGAACGTGTTGCTTCCGGGTCCACTGAGATACTTTAACCGAGCTAATTTAACTTACTGGGAGGCAATCCCCAAACCCCTGAAAATTCAAACCCAAACTAGCAGCATCTCATTTAGGTCCTCCTTTTACGCCGCGGAAAGGGAGATGTTGCGGGATAAGCCAGAGAGCTGCCGGGATGCAATAAAACTTATGAAGAATTTTCGCGATGTTAGGACCAACTTAGGTCACCTTAAGAGCTACTACATTAAAACTTTGTTTCTTTGGAAAATTAGGAACGAACCAGAGGCCTACTGGCACATGCCGGTCACAGTCATTTTACCTGATGTAAGTATGATGTGTTTTACACGCAAACATATATATTAACCCGTGGTCTGACAAAATTATCTGATCCTGAAAAAAACAGATGTTTGACGAACTGGCGCATTGCTTAAGGCATGGTGTTCTTCCCTTCTACTGGGACCCTGAATTAAATATGCTCGAAGTCCTGACAACGGACCAAGTGTTGGAAATGTACCTATGTGTGCAAAAAATCCCTACCGCGCTAAGGGGAGGGAGATACGGAGACCGTCAGAAGTGTTACTCCCGAATTGACATTCTTAGGGTGTTCAGTAAGCGCATTTATAATCTTCCATTAAATAGATATGAATATGACAATTTTCATTCACAGGTCACAAGAACAGAAAGAAAAGTAGGGTTAACAAGCCAAAATGGAATGGTATTGAACGGATGAAATCTATACCCAATGTATGTACATAAATATATAATCCAATCAAAAAAGCCCTAAGAACAAATAAAAAGGAAGATATCTACAAAGTACTGGCCCTTTCAAATTTTGAAAAATTAGAAATCAAGAATTGTGGGTATTATTTAATCATCAATTACCGTTATATATGTAAAATTAAATTTATTTTGGTTGTGGAAACTGTTGAGAGATCACCATCATAAAAGCTATATTCGACTATAGCGTTTCTTCGTTTTAATTATTACTTGTAAAAAAAGCTTGTAATCGAAAAAGTATGCTAGGTTAGGAGAATAAATAATAACGATAAAAAATTTGTGTATCAATAGTCTTTTGTTTTAATGTTATTTAATATTACATTCTTATATGTATATAAACTCCGATACATTTTTTCAAAAGTACATTTTCAAACGGATCCAGTTCCATATGTCGTGTAATCGATAGTCAATCGAAGCGTCTACATCCCTAGTTCGCCCCGTACTCTATAAAAGCAGCAAAAACGCTCTCTCTCTGTAATTTATTAAAAACCTCTTCGTTGACTGCGGTGGTGCGTTTCTGGTCGTCGTCGTCGCAATCACTTGGAATTAAATCAATTCGTTGGGGCGCGTGCAGACTGTTTAGAATTCTTACGTTTTTAATCGGATCGGACAAGATCGACCGCCAAAGCCAAAGTCGTGGTCCTATTAAACTCGTGGCGCGCATGCAAATTTTTGGCATATAACAGCCGCGACTTCTTAGAGCGCACTAGTCAGAGCGGTTCCGCCGGGGCAGCAGCTACGTTAGTCCACTTGAGCTTCGCGCTGCAACCAAAGCAAACTCGAACAAATCACCTGTGGAAATTTCGTAATCCCATTCCAACCAGGAATATTTTGATACCGGACGCGAGTGAAAGTGGTCAAGTGTTGGTACACCCAAGAGAAAAAGAAAATTTGCCATATAAATTGTGTCAGCAGTACATCATCAGAAAACAGAAGGCAAAACTATCATGAGTGGATACACAGACCTCACCAAGCTGGAGACAAGTCGGTGAGTCCGAGTATAAAGCGTTTGAGTTTAATTTGTCCCAAGTGATGCTACATTGATCCCCCCCGGTTCCCGATCCGCCCGTGCCTCGCCTCTGTCGCTCTCTTTCGTCGACTCACTCTCCTCTTAAATTGAATCCAATTTAACCGTACCCCGCCTTCGTTTTCTCTTTCGTTTGCACCGACACTAAGAAACGAAAAAACGAGATACAAGAAATTTATCGTACGATTTTTCGGTGGACGGCCATTTCAAACACGAAAGAAAAAAAACGAAGCCAGCGCTAATATGACACAATCGGCTATACACACATATGTTGTACACCTATGCAGATATATACTGACGTTTTTCCGCTGTTTGTTTGCTTAAATGTTTCGAGTTAGCCAACAGAAGCAAATTAAAGGTCCAGCTTTTGGATATGCGATAAGGTATTATCTCTATCGCACCTTTTCTAGCCCCACTGACAATAGTTTGTTAGTTATCGGTAATTAGCATTTACTCATCGGTCGCTATTATCTGGCCACCTCCCTGACTTTTTGAGTCTCCAAACTTAAAGGAAAATTCTCTGATTCACCTCGCAGTGTGACAGTTTTTGAGGCAGTTGTCACCTTGAACGGCAACTTACGGCAGCCAATGGCCAAAGCCAAACCAACCCGGCCACCGAGTACATAGAATATCTAATTTACTGCCGTATCAAATATCGATTATGCTGGAGGTCGAAGCTCAGCCAAAGTAACCAAAATATTGGTCAATTCGGTTCAAAGACTGCGTATTCGTATGTATTTGCCATTGCTCAACATTGCAAATACGTAAAATACGAAAAACAAGGCAGTAGCGGGAGCAGAGAAGACCATCGTCAGCGATTCATTCATCGTGCTCAGCTGATGGAGGCGACTCTTAGTTTTAGTCCGGCCATCGTACGTTTCTGGGCCATATCGCATCACGCCACACGGCACTAAAGAGAAATCGCTCGTACTGAAGAGAAGTCAAAAGAGAGGCGTCTCGCTTGCCACATGAAGCAGCTCAGCGACACCCTCATATTATCCCACCATCCCCTCAACCACATTCAACTTCAACTCAATGAAAAAATCGCCTGATTTTGGCGTTGTATGCGGTACATACCCGTTACCTTTTCTCCCGCCCTTCCTAGGCGCATGTCGCGTGATGGCCAGACTTAGCCCAATTCCCGCAAGCAGGTGTGCTTCTAATGATTATTTTATACCTTCAATTTGCTTGTAGTGTTTGGTGTTTTAACATTAACATTGACATTTAACATTAGGTTCTCGGGAACGGTTTCCAAAGAAGATCTGTGGAAAGATATCCACTGAATAGTGTTTTTGGCAAACGGGTAGCATTCCAGAGAAGTCTGATTAAAACCAACAATTCAACTCTGGGATCGTGGTCATAAAACAAATAAATATAATTAAAATTCAATTGAGGTGATTATTTAGATTTTCATGAGACACCAATAAAGCAATAGCCAAGCGAAAACGCTGAAAAGATGGTAATTGTTTTCTCATTCATATGCCGATTTTCATGATTAGAATCCAATCAAATTAGCTTAATTAGTCACTGAGTGTCTGGGAATCCTCCGTTGATGTCCACGCCATGTAGCCGTGCCTTAGGAAACACCTTGACACATGTCTGCCTCTGCTATAAAATTAAGATCTGGTTCTGGCCCCCCGTCGGACGATATTGGTCAGCGGAGCTCGCAGCAGTCGCGTGGCCACCCCCACCCCGTATTACACTTTAGCCATCGATATCTAGATTGTCTAAGTTTGCTCTCCTGTGCAGCTAGGGAGGGCAGCAGACGCGGAGAACTATAAAACTGTAGAACTGTAGGGTAGAGGTCTTTAAATGGCGCAGTCACAAAAACTAAATTTATCAGTGCGCTTGTCGCTCGTCGCTCGTACCGTCAACTAGCTGCGATCACGCGTCCCCGCACTGACTGGCTACATACCGGGCTGAGCAACGACATCATACCCACATTAAATGAAGGGCATAGGAGATACGCAACTCAAGCTCCGTCTGGGAACCGTCTGGTGGCAATAGCTGGTGCCGACGTGAGGCTTTGGACTCTACAGATCCAGATATCAGAAACCACTCCCGTATCCGTCGGGTTAATGGTCGACTGAAGTTTATGACGCTTAACCTATCGATGTTATGCGATATTTTTGTTTATTAAAGTTAATGAGACCAGTGAAATTTGTGTAACCATTAGTTGCGATGTGGTGAGCCGTGCCGACGCTCTGCCCTTTGGAGTCCCACCATCATATTTGCCTTAAAGCACGTGGACAAGTTAAATTGGCTTTGAAAACCAAATTAGAAATCTTTCTGCCCGTCCGCCTGGGCTCTCTTTCTATATCTACACGAGCGCTGTCAGATACAATAGCTCGAACTGGTTTTTTTTTATTGTATACGAATTGAATTTGCGACAAAACCAGCGAATTGCTGATTTGCATAGAAACTAATTCATATTGATCATTCGCCACTTTGGTCAGCGTCAAGACGCACCCATACCAATCAGAAAGCACCAAAGAGTAAGGGTTTTAAGTGGCGGAAGTCTGGTCGCGGCAGACTTAACGACGCTGTAGAACGGTCTGGTCTGGTGCGATGTGGCATGGACCTCAATCACGCCGTCTATTGTCCAAACTGGTTCCCCTGAACGCTCTACTGATTTACTATTCGCTAGCCCAATCTAATCTTTCGTTTATTCTGATTTTTTTAGGAACTGCCTGCGCCGCATCGCGCGTCACGACGAGCAGCAGTTTTCTAAAGACAGCATCGTCAATGTGATGGAAAAGTTTGTAAAAACTGTCAACATTATGGACGACACCATATTGGTGCCATGCAGGCTCATGGATCGACAGGTCGGTACTCCAACATTATGAACCTTACCCAAGCTCCATGTAGTCCACTGAAAAGGCACCGAACTTAACGCTCTACTTGGCTTATCCGCAGATCGGCGACAGCACTGACATCATCCCAGCCATCGGTAAAGACTCAACCGCCAACCAGCTAACACAGAGCTCCAGTGCCCAAGGAAAGCGGGGGGCAGCACAGTCAAAGAATGTGCAAGACTTTCTTAGCGCATCCGAGCTGTTTAACCTGTACAACATGTTGAATTCGCTAAAAAAGGATTTGCTTTGGACCGCCAACCAGGAGGATGACGAGCAGCTAAGCCAGCATAAGCAGCAGCTCAACACCAGTCCCAATTTAAATTTCACTTCTAATTGCAATCCCAGCGAAAGCAAGACTGAGTCCAGCAGTGGAAGCCCCAGTACAACGGCTCCTGGTAGTTCCAAGGGCCATGTGCGCCGAACCTCCACCGCCTCGATGATGTCAACCAACTCGGTAAGCAACATGAGCGACTCGGACTCTGACATCTCGCAGGAGAACGACTCCGGATTGGAGTCGGACGGCAACAAGAGCGACAACGCGCAGAGCAGTGATGGCAGCGATATCGTAGATGTGGCTAAGTCCAAACAAGTGTCAGGAGATAAGGCCACAGAGCTGGCACAACGCTGTCGGAGGCATCTTAACGGTCTGTACCAGTGCCTGGAACAAATGACAGAGGCGGCCAATTACCTGACCGCCAGATACCAAAGTGATATTGGGCCCGTCTAAGACGGCCAACTCAACTCCCGTTCGACCCTCTTATCCTAATCCTCCTACTTTTACACTTTCACTTCCTTTCGAGCTGGTCGGGGTTAACTTCATAACATAGCTGCGGGCGGGCCTTTACACTTATTAGTATCACGTGAGCCAAGTGTGAGGTTTATATTTAAATATATCTATATCTTTATCTGTAAATCTATATCTATGTATATGATTAGGTATGTAACTTGAGGGGGTGCTAACTTAGACATATGAGGATCCTATGTGTAAAGGAGGATGTATAAATGTATAGCTGAGAATAATAACTAACTGGTAGTTAGAGCAGCGGTAACGCAGCGCCTAAAGCAACAAATCAACAACCGCTCTTTTGTAAAAATTGAAACCTGTTCGTTGTGTCTCTCTTATGGGTTTAAAAGGTAACCGAAATCAAAAATTCACAGAATCCCGATCATTCCTTCTGTAAACGTTGGGGACTCTCTGCGTTTAAGTCAAAAATATTATCCATAGCGCAGCTGGGACCTCGACACATTTATCCCTATTTCTTTAAAATTGTATTTTCATATAAATACTGAGTACATAGCTACGGGAACTGCAGAAGAACACTAAAACAAACCATGTTCAAAGAGTACAAGAAATTAAATTTCTAACTAAATTACGAATACGAGCGTAAGTTAAGTGGGGGCAGGATATATCGGAGGCAGCCCACTTTACTTTTAGTATGTATGCAAATTTATAGATTCCACAATTGTTATTGTAATTCTTTAAGCCAACTATTTGTGCCGTTATGTTACGTTTTCTTTTCGCAGCCAACAAGCGACATCCAGTGGATACAGGCAAAGTGGGATGGTGATGAAAAATTCCTCAGTGATTCTACCGAAATTCATTGATCCACATGGATGTCACTAGTTAGGCATTAAAGACCTCAGAGCAAACTGTAAATTACTAACGTTAATAGCGCTTGTGCGAGAGCTAAAAAATAATTATTTATACACAATAAATAAATTTTACGTAGAAAATATATTCAACCTGCTTGTTTCTCTTACCTCGTTCTGGCCACCCATTCTCTGTCCCTCATTTTTTGGCACTACGAAGAAAGTGCCAACAGAGCAAAATTTTAAGTTGTTATTAGTGTAATTTGTACAAAAGCCAGTGGAATCGGTAAAGCCGGACGGTTGAAAGGTGGAAATGGCTATTGTAAATAAGCTATATAAGCTACAGTCTATACGCAGTAATATAACAATCTCAACGATTACATATTAGAAGGCTTCCAAAAGTTTTTTATTGGTAGCCACTTTTGGGGCAAGTCAGATCATATTTTCCTTTACATTTTTATTTTATTAGATTTTAAAGAATAAATGCATGTACATAAATATATACATACATATATTTTCTATAGAATTATACTTTATTTGATCTTATTTAATCTAACGCAGTTCCTCGATTTAAAACGGGAACTATTTAAACAATAGAATGAATACTTCGATATATATATACTATACTATATATCTTACTTCCGGCTTATCAAAATTTCTTTTAATTGTGAATTTCATTTTGCCAATCAGAACTTTTTATCTGAAATTGGTTTTAATCCTATTTCACTTTCAGACGAATTAATGAAAGCAACTGCGGGTCGCCCCTTGAAATTCACTGGTTTTATTCCTATGGCTATGTTGATTAGAAGTAACTATGGAAAAAGGAAAACTTTCGCTCGAACCACTTTAAGGCGAAGTCTATCAGGCATCCTTATCTATGCATAGATAAAGTCGTTAAGGCGAAGCATTCCTCCAATTACAAAATAATTCCAGCCCGACCGATTCATAGCCTGTGGCCGTGAACAACTATCGATCATGCGATTGATTCATGGCCATATCTACTCCCTACTCAAGTTCAGGGCGGGGGAAGACCGGCGATTTTATGGCTGTCAAGTTTTTGGACTCGTGCCCAGAATCAAGAGCTATGTGAGCACTTGCTATAGGGAGCTTCAATTGCGAACAGCATGCGGCGTCATGTTTATGCCTTCAATCGGTCTCAATCTCTCAGATTATGACTCGGTAATATGCAATTCATAATCTTCTTTTAGAACGTCGTGCCATTCTAGTAAGTATGTATCTGGGCCAAGTTAATTTGGTTTTCCGCCGCGGCCACTTCACGGCTAGTTAGTGTTTATTTCTGTTTATATTTTGGTTGTGCTCTTGGTCGTGGCCTTATCATGGTGGTAATGAGAATTGCGACTAGTCTAATGAAATTAGAATCCATGAACTTGTTTCTTGTTTATCAACAGACTCCCCTTGAGTGGTTTCCAGGGTTTTCCCTCACTAGGCCACCAGAATGGATTGAAATGGAAGTCAATCCGAACGTGATTCTGTGGGATTTCAGTTGGTTCTACGTCTCATCAATTAGCACCCTGCTAAGGCTTCCGCATCGCAAGAGGAGCGAGAGAGGGGTGGGAATGGCTAAAAGTATTTGCAAACTGCGCCAGTCTCAGACTCAGTATAAGTTTTTTACCATTCGTTTTGGCCAAACCATTTGGTTTTGGTGGATTGACTAATATTTCGGCTGCTGCGAGTAAAACTTGTTTACGGTTCTACCTCACTTTTGGCTTCCGCTTGTTTTGGCTATCCGTTTGCCTTAACCCAGGCAACGCTGAAGGTAGACGGAAGTATCATAACTTAGCGAAGATCGATACTCTAGCAATGCTGCGTTGTTACGTTTCCGTTTATTGACCCCGCCCAGTCCGACAGCTTCTGGACCTTGATCGTCCGAGAAGAAGAAGCCCAAGCTCCCAGACTCATTTATCCAAAATTTGCATAATTCAACGGCGACAAAAGAAAGTCCGAATCAACGTGATTCAGCAGTTTGCGTCGCTTGTAACTGGCCAAGCAATTGGGTACTGTCCGAGGTCCGAGTTCGAATACCCAAGGTTGAAGCTGCTGCTCTTCAGCAGTGAGCTGCACTAATCACAGCTGGAGTAACAAAGCCGAAGTCAAATTTTATCACGTGCCTCTGTTGCGATCCAAAAATAACTTGGTATTCAAATCGAATTGAGAAATTAATTAATAACGGCACAGCTAACAACTCCATCAGAGATTAGCATGAGAGGTCCGAAAATATCGAGAAACACTTCCGTTTGACCCCAGAACGACGTATGCAGGCGGAAGCTAAAACGTCTTGGCTGAAGCTTTAACAAATGGAAGCCAGCTAATATTCGATTAACAACAGCGCAAAATTTACTTTAGGGCAACATCCCCCAGTAACGGAGTTCCGCCTTCCATTTGCGGATGCTGGTTTCGTTATGAACGCTGTTCGATCGATATGGATAGGGTTATACAGCCAAATAATTCCGCATTATGCTATCAGCAAACACGTCATATCGCGCAATAATTAGAACCCCGTCCATACGCTCATCTAAGTTTCACCACAGATGGATGGCGAAGTGCAAACAAAGCTCACCATCTAGTTTGAATTGGCGGTGTCCCAGACTATGTCGGCGGCCAGCATGGAGAAGTCGGTTCATGGCCTATCCACTAGTACAAAGTCCAAAAACTCGAAATTCCACACTCACACAAGCACAGAGCCGAGCTTGTCGAGCTTACACGGCAGACTTTACAGAGAGCGATAAGTCACGCCAAAAATATTCATTCACGAACATTCTGTGGAGGTTGTTTTGCAATCCACAATATTCAATATACGATAGCGGATTCCAGGTGGGGGGTGGAATGCACCGAAAACATCTCAGAGTCAAGCGATCTACTTGATCTGCGACTGAATGGGAGCGAACGCTAATTAAGTACTCTCAAAATTAATTAGCTTGACCCACTTTACATAATAACTCACACTCACAGGAAGCAGGGCTAAGAGTGGGATCTTAGGTCTTAAAGCTCAGAATGGTACAATTGAAACTCATTTATTAAAAATGTATTCATTTATTTTAAATTGGAAAACTGGCCAAAAGGCCCCACATCGCATATCAGCCATACGACCCGTAGGCCACTGTAAGTAATTACATGCTTACAAGAAGAGGAGGCAAAGTCAGAAGACATGGCTCACACACACATGGGCGGCGAGTCATTGGACTAGTTTCATAACTGCCAAAACAACAACCAGCCCCTTCCCCATCTGCCCGTCTTACCTGTTTAGAGCTGAGCGCAAGCACAGAGCAGTTCGGTCCGACTCGGTTGGTTTCGGACACAAACTCGGTTTCGGTCCGGACTCAGGTGAATCTGAATGCCACACACCTGAGTATGACCTTCAAGGCTAAAAACAGCGGTTGCGGGAACGCGGCTGCGCTGCCCCTGCGACTGCTGCAGAGGCCACGACTCCGCCAGCCAAGCAACTCAACACTAAAGAAACATTTTACAGCCAAAACGTACATCATCCACAACAAAACAAAAACAAAAATCGATAGTAATAACAACAATCGACAAGACGTTGAACAGCAGCAACAACTCAAAACAGTCAATAGCTTACAAAAACGACAAAAACTTGGCCCTCTTCCCACGAGCTCAAAGCTTTAGGCCGGCTAATCGCTTGAGATCCACAGCTTCATATCGGCTCTAAACTGATCACACCTCGGGAGGAGTGTGGAGTCGCACCTATCAATACTCTAACCGGAAATCTCAGGTTGCTTACCAGACCTAGTACGTTAATGAAAAGCTTATACACAATTTTTGGTAAGGGACATAAATGATTTAGCCTGTTCAACGGTTCATTATGTTTCCACATTCTAGGGTTTGGTAATTTCTATACCCTCCCATCCTCCTGCAGCTCAGGGGCCGGCCTTTGCTGTCCGGATTACATTCCTTCTGGTCAGAGCGGGTACATTGTGGAAAAGGAACCAGTTTAATCATACTGTATATATGACGCGTCTCCAACCTAGCCACAACAAGTCGCGCCTCCTTTACTGGGCCACCAACCATTTTATGACTGCTCTTTTAAGCCATGTTTTTTGCCCACTTTATACTGATTTAATGTTTCAAGCGTGGCCTGGCCAATTTGTATTCCACCAGCAGCCGTTTCTGGCCTAGCCCGCTCCCTATCAGCATTTGCATAATTTGCAGCGAGGGAAGCAATTGACTACTCCATGATCTGTCTGCTAATTTTCCACTGTCGATACTTTTCTTGGGGATTTTTAGACAACTGCGTGTTTATTTATACCGCCAGACATTATAAAGAACGAGATGACAAAAACCGGGAATCTGATAGGCGTCTCTGGAAATTCCATGATGACTTGCATCTTGATTCAACATGGGAGAGAAATTTATATGGAAGGCATTTCAAAATATTGGTTGTTTATTAAGGTTTACAAAAGATATGTTAAGTAACTACATGGGTTTTAAGTGACAAAGAATATCACTCAAACCACTCATGATAATGGGGTTTCGTCAATTCTGACCGTTGCAGTCTTTCTTAAGTTGCGTTTTGTAAATCGTCATATCAAAAGCTCGTTTGATTGTCTTAAGCTCGCTTTTATAGGAAATCCAATTGAATATTTGGAATTTAGGGCGTATAAATTACCTTAATAGCTGCAGTCATAGTGCGCTGTCCGGAACTACGCAGTAGCAGCCCATTTAAGGTTGAAGATATCGAGTTCGATATCTTGATTTCGCGGGCTGTGTCTTTTGCCTTTCAGGGCCAGCGATCTTTGGTTACTGTTCGATGTTCAAGAGTCGCTTCGCGGGTGAAACTAATTAAGTAAATTTAACACAGCATACCTGCCTTAGGCACTAAAGCGGGCATAGAACGTAAGCGAAAACGAAAACTAATTGCAATTTTAATTTTAATGAAAAACGAGTACGCAAAACTACAAAGTACACGAACGTGTAGAACAGAAAACCACAAACATAACAACTTAGATATATGGTAAGTAGTTACTTTATACTTACTTTTCTGTCGATAACCTCTCATTTTGGATCTTTATTATGTAGGTCTGGGGTTTTTCATTAAGTTTATTATCACGTTACAATATGAGATATATTAAGTATTCTTTGAGTCGGCTCTACATTGTTTATAAGGGTTAATTAATCTAAATTACTATCATTTTAATCCCAATAAAAATCATTATTTTTTTGACAAAATTTTGGCGAGACCAATAGAAATATAATTTGAATTCCATTACATTTATCAGATGTCTAGCATAAAAACAAAATCTTCTGTATCTAATCAACTAAAAAGGAGAAAAAAAAGACAATATATTTTAATTAATCTACAAAAACTCGAGTGGATGGATCGTAGTATATATTACTTAAAGGACTACTTCTCAATACTTTTATGAAAATGATGATAAATGTTTTACCATGTCTACCAATAAGATGAGCTTTTAAGCTCATGTGGGATATGCATAAACGCACACACATACGATTGATAACTAATTAGGGATTATTACCAGCTATTGACTTATGTAGTTTAACATAGTGACTAATATCAACACAATTAAGCTAAGGTTCAATAGTATAAGTCTGTAGGATAGTATAATTAAACACACCAGAGAGTCAGTGCTCTAAACACTTTTCAGCTTTGCGCATTTCCAATACATATTAATAATAATATCTGAGATTAATTTCTTTACAAATAAATATATTTTTAAACAAAAAAATTCAAAGATTAAACTTAAACAATCAATATTAACAGAACGCCATGAGATGATCAAACTAACGACGAAGTCTATTTTAAAACTAAAATTCCATCTATGCAAGTTTAAAACAAAGAAAACCTGTGTTATTTCTACGGTTATAACATATAAAGTTCATAAAACAATTTTCTACACGCCACCAAATTTTTGTATAACTTCCTGCACCAGTCCATAGTTTCATTTACAATATAAATACTCGTCTTTTCTTATCAGTTAGAAAGTTATTGCGCTTAGTTTCAGTATCAAGTCTGGGATTCGCTTGGACAGTTAGCTTAGGTCTTAGCAAATTAGTTACTGTCTAAATCATACATGATGCGTCAGTAAGATGGTGATATTAGCTATATCAGGTTGTTCACCCAGTTCTATTCACCACCGAGACCACTGAGCTGATAACTCTGATTCTCTAAGCTGCGCTTCAAATCGACAATGGTATTCAGTAAGAGCTGCCGCTTTCGGTTACTACTGTCCATTGCCTTAGTCTCTTCAACGGTAACGTCTTGCATAGAGCTCTTTGCCGACACGGAGGCCGAATATTTTATTTGCGAAGGCTCGTTCAACTTGCTCCGTCCGTTTGCATCTGTATTTTATATGGTTAAGTAAATCGTAATGTAATAAAGCAAGGTCCAATTATTTACCCAATTCCAAGTCAAAGTTCTTCTTAATGCGCTCGAAAGATGAGCTTCCCTTGTAGACCTTGCGCTTCAAGGGCTCGCTATGTGGGCAATAAAAGTTGTAATTCTGCGACTCCGCATGCAATTGATTTTGTGCTTGCGACTCAAGCCAAACTTTCGGATTCGATTGCTGCTGTGGCAAATAGTTCTGATTACTAATGTCCTCTACTGCAATGGATTCTATCTCAGAATCACTGCCGTTAAAGCTGATGACTGTTGTTGTGGATGTCACCATCATAGTGCGTCGCTTTCCCTTCGGACTCTCCTGGAGACGTCTTCCATTTAGCTGCAGCTGTGGTGACAGTGGTGCAACGGGAATGTGGCCGTTCATTTTTCGTGGCGGCAGCTCTGGCGGAGCATTTTGACTTATGAAGTTAGTCAGATGCGTTTTGCGTGGACTGCAACGTCCAAGCTTGGGACTATTGGGCGGCGATGCGACAGACAGAGGATTAAACTTCAGAATCTCTATGCGCTTGTTGATTGCTGCAGCTATCTCATGTTCCAGAGAAGCGGAATTCGGAAGCTGTGCCTGCTTTTTGGGATCTACCTCGCTATTTTTAAGCATCTCAACTCGCTTGTTGGCTAAAGGATTCAACCGCCTCGGACTGGCAACGGGCGTGTCTCTGGGAATACTATATAAAATTTTTGGTGAAATTAAATTTGAAGGATAATTAACGAAAATCACCTCTGCAAGCTGTTTTTCATTGACTCCAGTAATGACTCCGCCTCCATGATTAGCTGCTTATACTTTATATCAGCCTCAATGTCTGCCTTGAAAAGAGCTCTTTCGCTTTCTGCAATGTTGAGTGTTTTCTTTTCGTTAATGCTGCCAAATATCAGGGAATTAGAGCGGTTTGACAAAGGGGAAGTCTTAAAAATCCTGTAGAGAAAATTCGATGTTAAATTGTACAACAAATAATATAACTTGTATTCTACTTTTCTCTTGGACCCAGCAGATTACGGCGCAAGCAAACGGGAGTACCTCCTACACTTCGGGACCCCCTAGGCTCACCGAAAGGTGCCAAAGGGATCTTTTCGCGGTTGTCGCAACTCTTCTTACGCGTCTTAAGATACCGCTTACGTCGACGCTGTTGTGAGCTTTCTCCCGCCTCTTGGCCGCTCTTACGTCGGGAGCGGGTTGAAACCTTACGATTAATCGGACTGACGGGTTGATTAGAAAAGTACTGGCAGCTGCCGAGATTGCGCGATAGGTCCTGGCGATCGCTTTCTTTCTCTTGTATCGAAGAAGTATCTATGAAATCGATGTCCAATAGCTCGTCCGTTTCACACTCATCTCCCGCATCCTGACCAGTGTCCATCTCCGAAAGACAGCAGTCAGTAACATCCGAGTCGCTACTAAAAATTGGGAATGTTAATCGAGTTGACTCGCTGAGCAGTGGAGGACTGAAGCTCACCTCAGTATGTCAGTCTCCTTCTCGTAGATGTAGCTCTCGTCAAACTTCCCTATCATCTCGTTGAGGGTGGCCTCGTCATCACTAAGCACGAATGAGGTAGTAGTAGCTCCTGCTCCACCACCACCTGCCATATGCACTGAAGTTGTTGTCGTCTCTGCGTGCTCCAGTTGACGCCGCTTTATGGTGTGTGGGGCATGCAGATTTTCCACTTCAGTCGAAGACGAAGAGCCCTCGGATTCAGAAGCGACTCCAGTTTCAGGTGCGCCACTACATACACCCCCAAGAGTGTCAACACCCGCCACTTTGGTTGACTTGCTGAAAATGCCTCGGTAGTTGGGGTTTTCGGTATGGCCGGCTGCTTCTTTTGAATTCGACCCTGTTGTTTTCGTTGCCGAAACTTCGAGCTCATTTCCAGACTTAATGCCGGACGAGGTAGTGGACGTTGTGCTGGTGGCATCAAGATCGGTTCTGGTGGGAGCTGAGGAGTTTGGCAAATGCTCTCCAGTGTTGTACCAAGGATTCGTTCTTATACGGCAGCGCTGTCTCGGCGAGGGAGCTATAAATAGAGAAAATACATATGTAAAATATTTCTAGTTAAGTCGAGATGCTAAATGGGTTATTTGTTTAGTTTGCCGGAGGGCGGGTTAACCACATTGACACTCACATTCAAAAAATTTAGGTTGCTGACGCACAGCGAGTGGACTAGGCGACAACTCCAAGGTATGATTGGCGCTGGTGAAGTTGGTCTTGGGCAGCGGGTCCATGGGCGACATCTCCTCAATGCGGTTTAGGCCGAACTTGTAGCGTTGCGCCTCTATAGCAAGCGAATTTACGCTCTTGGGGAAGTAGTGGGTTCCCGAGCGCATGTTTATATAGTACTCGGGGGGGTTGTAGTTGTTAGCGGCGCACGGCGATGTGCCATCTGTAGAGTAGCCTGTAGAATATGCGCTTTCCGGTGAAGGCAAACTGTGGGGTCGTGGTCCCGGCATGAAAGTGGTGCGCTGCATTCCACGGGGAGTTCGCAAACGCGAGCCGGTAGGCGGAGCTGTTGGAATTGGAGGCGTAGCTGTCAAATTTTCCAAAGACTCGCCTAGCTGAACAGGCGCCAGCTTTGAGGGTAGTAGGCGGCCGTATCGCACGTGGTTTTTTCTTTGCCTAGGCTCATCATCGTAGAGAAGACGCATTACGCTCAAGTTCTCGGAATGAGGACGCTGCTGTTCACCGAAAGAATCGGGTGGCCTGAGCAGTAGAGCGCCCACCTCCTCGTACTCAACTTCCTCCTCGGGTGGGATGTTATATTCCACATTTAAGGACAGCTCCCTAAAAGTGGCCTGTTTGCCAGAAGAGGGCTCCTTGGAGCCAGTTGACCAGGACAGCGATGATATGGATGACGAGGAGCAGTTTACCCCGATGGGCGACTTCTCGCCACAGGAGTTGTCTTTGCTATTTGGCACGCTCAAGTAGTGCGGGTGCTGTTGCAGCAGCGGGTTGGGCTGATAGCGATGCGGGGCGTTTAGTAGATTCTCTGATTTAGGCGAGGTAATGACGTATGAATCGTCGTCTGGGGATTGCCATCCATATCGACGACTAGGTGGCTACAAAAATATATAAGACGTAAGCAATTAGCAACTTCTCAGGCGTAAATATACTTACATGGCACTGAATGGGTGATACTTCGCGCCTACGAACTGGACTAGCGATGCTGTGGCTTCCACTGCTGGTCAGGACGGGACTGGTCAAGTTGCCCCCCTGCGGCGGCAGGGTGCCAGCCTTCTTTCCGGAGCAGGAGCTTCCCGTTTCCAAGGACGCCTGCTTGTGCTTGCTACTCTTCTTTCGGGGACGCCCGATGTGCGTCTCCATCCACGAGCGCAGCTTGGACCCAAACATATTGGTATCACTAATCTTAACCAAATTGGACGGATGGTAGGGTCTGAATGAAAAAGAGGTAATTAAGCTAGATGGCTGCAATTGCATTGTATAAATGGAGAGGAGTGGACTCCTAAGACTATTTTGCGTTGAGAAGAAAATCCATTTAAATTATTTGATAGCACAAAAGCCGAATGTCATTTAAGCAGGTTCACATTTTCTATAGTTTCTGTGGGAGGGTGGGTTGTGCTGGAATTTTATGCGAAATTACCTTATTCGCAAATACGGCAGACATCTTCGAAATTTTGTATCTGCCTCCTTTTGTTGCGGCGGCCACACACTCACAAAAAAGATAAAAGGGCAACGGTGAATCTACAGCGGAATACCAACAGATAGGGTACCCACAAACAGCCGACCGTCGGCTTCCTGGGTTTGTTTTTTGTTGTGACTGCTATTTTTTTTGGCCGTTATGTGTTACGCCGAGTACCGACGCACCCAATGTTGTTTGGGGGTTGTTCGTAAGCCGAGATGGTTCAAGGACTCCACTTCGCCTTCCCCTGGCAATTTAACTTCGTGTGTGTGTGTGTGTATGAATATGCAGGAGCAGAGATGTCTGTGAGCAACTGTTTGTTGTATGTATGTCTAACGTAACTGTGCATTTTATGTGAAGAAGTTTTTCATTTTTGTCTGCATGCTCAAAAGTTTTAGGATATTTTGGCAGTTGGCTTCTATTTTTAGCTTGAGGATAATTAGCAAATGTAGTTTTTAATTCTTTTTGCTATGTATATGTATGAAAAAATTTGTTCTTCATGCAAAATATGTGAAAATGTTATTGGAAATTATAAGAAAAAAAGCACACCGCAGAAAATCCTTTTCTAAAACTAGCGTTTTTCACTTAAATTTCTCGAACTTTAAATTTTTTTCGCGGTGGTTGTGCATGGGTATGCAATCTATGTACAAGCTTGGTGGTAGCAAGAACAGCATGCGGCTAAATCTTTTTGCGCGGACACGAACTGAAGAGAAACGTCCGCTCTTGCAGAAAGATAAAAACTAATGACGGAATGCGCAGCTACGTAGGATTTTCTGGATGTGAATTTGCCACTTACCGTTACGTTATACGTTCGGAAAACTTGGGTTACTAAACTCAAAATCCTAAGAAATATAATAAAATTAAAAAAAAACGTTGTTTTTTTCAAGTATTTTCCACTTTAATATCTTCAGCCCAAAAGTAAGCTACTTAATTTAATTTTTAACAGCAGCGCATTTATGAGCAACAGCTGTTGACTCCTTTCAGCGCTTACCAACGTCTGGCAACCCTATTACCATTATAAATAAATTTATTGTTATATTTGTTGGACACCATGCGCTGTTATTACGACGAGCTCGAGCTCCGACGAGACGCTAATGATGGGGATATTAAAACCGCTTACCGCAAAATGGCACTACGCTGGCACCCTGATAAGAACCTTGACAGACTGGCGGAAGCGAAAAACCGCTTTCAGCTAATTCAGCAGGCGTACGAAGTGCTCTCCGATCCGCAAGAGCGATCTTGGTACGACAACCACCGCGAGCAGATCCTGCGCGGCAAGAACTCAGAGTACTCCGAAAACTGTCTAGACGTGTTCCAGTTCTTCACCAGCTCGTGTTACAAGGGCTATGGAGATGATGATCATGGCTTTTACCACGTGTACACCCAGGTCTTTGTCCAGATCGCCTCGGAGGACATCGAGTTCATGGACGAAAACGACCGACTGGGAATGGCGCCAGACTTTGGCCATGCGAACAGCAGCTATGAGGAGGTGGTGGGTCCATTCTACGCCTTTTGGCAGGCCTATAGCACCAGGAAGACCTACGAGTGGCTGTGCCCGTACGACGTACGAGAGATCAAGGAACGCTTCATCCTACGGAAGGTTGAGAAGGAGATGAAAAAGATTGTCCAGAGTGCCCGCAAAGAGCGCAACGAAGAGGTGAGCATTAAATATGGATTGATATATTTTAACGTGTAAACCTTTGTTGCCTTTAGGTTCGCAACCTGGTCAACTTCGTTCGGAAGCGTGACCGCAGAGTGCAGGCCTATAGGCGCGTGCTTGAAGAGCGTGCCGAGGCCAATCGACTTAAGCAGGAGGAGAAACGCAAGGATCAGTTAAGAAAGCGACAGGAGGAACTGGCGGCCGTCACAGAGAATAAAGTCTTCAACGAGGGCTACGAGGAGCAATTGAAGCAGTTGGAGCAGCAGTACGAAAGCGAGTCGGATGGATATACAGATGAAGATGTGGACGGCGAAAATACGGAGCAGGAAGTTAATGGGGAATTTAAAAATTTCGAGGTGGAGTACGTCGACGATCTGTACTGCGTGGCGTGTAACAAGACATTTAAAAATGCGAATGCTCGTGGAAATCACGAGGAAAGCAAAAAGCACAGGGAAAATGTCAGCCGGATGTGCCAGGAAATGGAAGAGGAAGAGGAAGCTTTTAACGAAAAATCCCAAGAAGATAGTGTAAGTGATGTAGAAGAGTTACTGGATGAATTTAAAATTGATGACGATGAGATTTCTGGAGGGGAGGCACTAAGTGAGGAAGATTCTCCCCTCACTAAGCGCAACAAAAGGAATAAAAAATCTAAAAAGTCAGCCGCGAGGCAAGCACAAGAGGAGGCCGGCGATGGCCTAGATCAATCCTTAGATTTTAAATCCACCAAGAGCGAGTCAGAGGACGAAAATTGGAGTAAAGGCAAAAGGACGGCCAAAAAGAGCAAAAGCAAAAAGTCAGCGTTAATCAAGATAAAGCAAGCAGAGCCAACGATTGAGGAGTCAACCCCAAAAAAGGCCAACGATGCTCAAAAAGGCTGTGATGAAGATATTGATCCCTCCAAGCCGCAACACTCTTGCGTCACCTGTAGGCTTGTTTTTGACTCTAAGAATAAACTATTTACGCATCTGAAGAAAACTAACCATGGCGTATACATACCTAAAGCCAAGCCTGATGTTGAGGGCAAACCTGGAAAATCCAAGGGCAAGCGGAACAAGTAGAACCGAAGCAACAGCTAGGCTCATTCTATCCATATTGTAGAAATGTTAGAACTTTTTATGTTTATGTTAAAATTAATTCGAAAATGAAGTAATGTATGGTCTCTTTAAATCAGGGATTGTCCTTATTATATACGGATGAAGCTAAGGAATGCAAACAAATTTTCTGCCCGTCTCTACACATCGGCGGACACGGGAGCGCATGTTGGAAGCCTCTGCCTTGAGGCTGATGCCGGCGGCGCAGAACGCCAGAAGAACGCCGATGATTCCACAATAGACGGAAACTCCTGGAGATGTTAAGTTTAGTTTTCTTCTACAAATAGTTTTACTCAAATACCTATGGTGCAGTCGGCGAGATAGAAAGGTTCTGCATCCGGACCGCACAGACGTTGAACCCGGGCAGCACGCCAGCCTATTGGATGCAGGAAGAGAGCCATCATTACACATATTCCTAAAAAAAAATAAAGAAGTCTTATTTATATGCTGTAACAAAATGATGAAATCTTACCAGCCACTACTTGAGCACATGCTATCATGTTGTGGATGCTTTTCCCACAGGCTGACTGACGACAGCAGGTGAGCAAGGTCAGTAGAACAGTCACCGACAGCAGACTGAATCCCAACGAGAGAAAAAACATGGCCGCCTTCCATTCCCCGGGGTAAACACTGCTATCCGTGGCAAGTCCATCCAGATCGAATCGGCCGCAATGGAACCCACCTTCGTTCACCAACTTGCAGCGCGTGTAGATGCCCACCGAGGAGTAGCGATAATGACTGGAGTTAAAGCCTTGGGCAGGGCCCACCAGCCACTTGGGTGTGACCAGGGCCACCGCAAATAACATATCCGCCACTAGGGAGCACAGGAACCATGTCAAACTAGCGCTGGTGATAATAACGTAACCCATTTCAATGCTAAAGATCGTTGGGAATCACAAATTGAGTAGCCGACGCTCAGCGGTCGCAACGCGTCAGAACTTTTCGGATAGATAATAGACTCTGCTTTTTTCTGAGCACACACATCCCACACCCACTTAGCCGTCACCCCACAACCACTGCCGCAACACAAAACACCAGCAGCGCAGGGCCAGAACAGAACTTCCTCCCAGCTGACCAGCCCGAAATGGAATTGTTTATTCTATGATTTCTCCGTTCGCTGTTATGGGTCTGCCGCCTGTTTTATGTTATTCACCCCACTCACACACACAAAGGATGGATGGGGGTTTGGAACCGCCCAGTTTGCGATTCAGTTGAGAACTCAATTCGTAGCTGCTGTCGAAGCAAAGAAAGAAATACGCGCAAAGAAATAACTCTGCCTCGAAAGCGTTTTCATTAAGCACCCAGGCGTGTATTTGGCAACATTGTCCCACACACTGTACATCTGGGCTTCTATTTGCGCAGGCGTCACCGCATATGCTCCTCTATCCGTCACTTCAAGACGACAACAACCGACTGAATGAATGACCATTAAAGCCAGCTGCAGTCTCAGACGGAGCCAGGCCCCAATCGCAGCACTGTGAGAAATAGTGCGTATCCACGTTTTCCATTCAAAAAAGTACTGTAAGTGTGATTTGTGTCTGTGCTTTATTTCTTCTTTATCAATCCGTATATGTATTTACAAAGTCATTGAATCATTGGTCGAATGCGTATGTACATACTTAAAAATAAATAAAATAGCATTTTAGTATTATTTTATTAAAGGCCAATAATTTGTTAAATTAAAATCTCAGTTAAGGGTAAATTCCCATCTACACGCAGATTTCGTGACACATTGAAACCCTGAATTCGTCGACTATAAAATACCTAAATAATAACAGTATAATTCTTTTTGATTTCCAAATCGAATTATAATGATTTAACCTAAAATTAATTCTACCAAAAACAATTCCAGTGTGCACATGCAGATGTGGCGCGGCAACATCGGGAGCGTGGAAATCCAGACATGCCAGAATTAGTCCCCAAATTGCTCTCCTTGGCTCTCAGCACACACGTTCGAGTTCGATTCGATCAGAAAACTCTCTACAGTTCCCTCCGACGTCGGATTGGGTGGGTAATGTAAAGTCAAACTGATTATGTTGCAAATGCTCTGATCATTTGTAATTAAGGTCGATACAATCTCTGGTAGATCAGCTATAATTTGACGGCGAAGCTGGCCATTTCGTAATCCGTACTTGCTTAGGCACAGTGATCGTGACCGAGCCTATAATGAGATCCGTACACAAATTGCACCATCTGGAAAAACACTTTCACTTAACATTTGTTGTCGGTATAAAATCCGTAGGGTAGATCATTTACCGTTGACCAAGATGACGCTACGGATGGTCTTCCTTGAGTTGCTATTGTGGACAGCAACAAAGGGCCACTACTATTCTGATTACGGCTACTGGGAGATCAACGAGCCTCCGCCAATTTGTTCCGATTACGAAATGCTTGTGGCCAACACCCACCAGTGCGTGAGGCGCTGCAATATTGTGTGCCGGGATCGCGTATGCATCGAGGATGGACCTTGCCCTTGTGCGGATCAATACATGTCGGGAAATCCGGACGGATTGGTTTGTGCGGCAGAGTGTCTTCCTGGTTGCAGGGAGGCAGGTGGCTACTGTGCCACACCCAATATCTGTGTGTGCCGAAGAGACAGGCACTACTATTTTGATCCCCTGTCTCAAAAGTGCCGCCACAGGGCTTCTAGACTGCTGGACCCCTGCCTCGGGTGAGTTAAATTTTATTGAGTGGAGTGGTCAGGAGTGTAGATATGCATTATACATATCATCCGCAGGCGCTGCTCACATGGTAACTGCTCCTTTGACGGTCAGTGCACCTGTGCACAGGGCTACGAGCTAAGGACCAGCGTGATTCACGGACAGAAATGCATGCCCGTCTGTGATCAGTGAGTTGGGTTGTTGCTTAGATTATGGCCCAACTTAACCTAGTTTATTACTTCAGCAATTGCGGACCTCAAGCCTACTGCTTTGCACCCAACTTGTGTGCATGTCGGCACAAGGACCACCATTACGCTTACAATGGTCTCTGCTCTATGGACTATTAACGAAGGTTGGCCGAAAACCAATGGGTCTTTTTATGCCACTGTCGCTGCCGATGAAATTCCCTGACTTTATACACACGATGAAATGATGAATTAATATTTATTCAAATTCAACGTTTTAAAAAACTTAATAATGAGCTTTCTCTGTGAATATATAAGGTTAACTATTTAAGAACACAAGGCTGAGATAATAAAGAAACTTGTCTAGTGACAATATTAGAAGTGCAATACTTGTTGTCGCCTAAGGAAATGTTTGGCGATGCACATATGTATTTACATACATATATAGTATAAAAAAAGACCCAATTTTAAGGTACTCCAATATTCGAAAATTGAAGGACAACTGGTAATTAATCACATGTTAATATTAAACCCTATTTACATATCTTTGTTTGCTTCCTGAAACTAAAAGGCAGCTCCCCTGTCGAGGGGAAAACAAGAGAGACCACTTTGGGTGGAATACATTAGGGAAGTTGTGGCCAACTTACAATGTTTTGGCATCCTTAGAATTTGCATTCTTAATCCTAATGCTATTGTTACTTACTTGTTACACCCTTTTCATCGGCTAAAGCGCTGCCTAGGTGTTTTCAACTTTGTTTTGCTGCCGCGTTTAACGCGTAAAAATTACAAAGCGATTTTATTTTTATTTGTTGGTGCTATAAAAACCCGTCCATATAAAAGTTAATAATTTCCACAAATGTACGAAATGTACTCTTTATGCATATATATGTACATAAAAAAGTGTATACAATATCAGATCGCAAGAAGAGCATCAAAGAAGCAAAAGGTAATCGAATACATGCGTACGTGTTCTCCAGAGGTAGCGCCAAATAATATATACATACATATGTATATATGTACATATCTAAATACGTATGTACATCTGTATATTTTCAGAGTAAAGAGAAGCTGAGGTTAAAGACGGATGTTTGGTTACAATGTTCAGCTATTTCTTGAAGTCTGATAAGCCCCGAATTTTAAAGTTTTTGTGTTTGCGGAGTTTTTGAAATTTGGGGTAATTCAACTGACCCACACCCCGCTGTCAAACAATTTCTTAGATAGTGCTAAGGGAGCAAAGAAAAGCAGCGCAGCCGAAAGCGACAGAGGCGGCATTTTTAACTTTGCGCGTGTGGCGTGTTTTTGTTGTACTTGCTGAGGCGGGCCTCTTGGTATTGACGACGTCGCACAGTGGGGAGATGCCTCATATTTTGTTTAGGAAATATTTTTTAAATTTAAAATTATACACAAAACTGCACAAAAAACCATTTAACTAAAATATGAACTGAAAACTAAAATTAAATAACTGACTTAAAAATACTGTTTTTGTTTTTTGTTTCTTTTTTTATTTGTTAGCTACAACAATGTTATATTTTCTCAATTAGTACTCCGTGAAGAAATACTAGAATAAATATCAAAAAGTTTAAAGAATTAAATCGTTGAGGCTCACGGTGACTGAAAGGAACAACAAAAAAATAAACGTCAGGCGAGGCTGCCCTCGTGTCCGAATGTTTTCCATCGCGTTTTAGTTGGAGTTTTGCCTTCCATCGGCTCGGTTGTATCTTTTCTGGAGCACCTATTTTAGAAGAGCTCTTTCTCTTTTGCCAACTGCAGTAATATACAATTTTAGTCATCTGCAAGGTGGTTCGACAAGAAATTATTTGAAACAGGAAAAATGGGCCAAGCAAAGGTAAGCAGAACCGGAAAAGCAGCACTCAGGAAACATTTGTACACGGGCACACAATTTTACATATTTATACGTGTTCTTTTATCCTTCGTCCTTGGCAAGTGGGCAACCCCGAAAGGAAATCGTGGGCAAATACAGTTTAACACTACAGTTATTCGCAGAGATAGTTATTTAAGCAATGCAATTCTGCATATCTATGTACATATATTTCATTCAGTTTTTATCGTAGTACACGAATGTACTTATGTATATATGTACATATGTATGTGCCGCCTGTTCTGGTGGTTATGTAAGCAGCTATGTCAAGATGCTTCTCTGCGGACGTTCGTCTATTATTCTTTATTGTCAAGGATGATTAAACCGATTTAAGCAATTATAGATGTAACTAATCACGCTCATGCACAGAAATATATCAGACGTAAATATCTACAAATCGATGCACATATTGTGAACACGTACATGTATATGTTTGTATGTACATATGTAGCTGCTGCGCAATTTGTGAAACACGCAACGCCAAAACACAATAACTTTAAAATAAGTATGAATGCAGGAAACCGGTTAGGGCCTATAAAGATTTGATATGTGTGAAGTATAAGCACAGATCGTCTACAATCACGATAGATGAGCAGACCGGGACGACGCGTGTGTAGTCTTATCAATAATTTGCGGGGGTCTTTGCCAGTGGAAAATATTTGTACATATGTACATATGTATGTATGTACCCCCCGATAAGCCGGGCGATTGATTGATATTAATAGAGCACACTTTGACTGAACATACATATATATAAGTGTACCACCTATTTATCCGATCTTTAGCCTAACCTTACTTTCCTTTCTGCCCGCCACACCCACCTCCTTTTTAAATCGTAGAAAGTCTCCTCCGCCCTGAGCAAGCTCTTTGTGTACGGCGCCCTCAAGTACGGACAGCCCAGTAACTCTATCCTCGCTAGCTCTGGCAATGGATATGCCAAGTTCTGGTGTAAGGCCACCACCACCCAGAAGCTGCCACTTGTTATCGCCACCCGCTATAACATTCCTTTCCTGCTGAACAAGCCCGGCGTGGGATATTACGTAACGGGAGAGATCTACGAGGTAGATGACCGCATGCTAAATTCCCTGGACAACTTGGAAGACTGCGAAGAGATCTATACGCGCGAAAAGCATGACATGAACATCGGCGTGGGAGAAGGGTGAGAATTATTAGCAGTTGATGTCCATCAACGATCTGATCTAAACGTCTTTGATTTTTTTTCAGAACTGTGCCGTGCTGGGTGTACCTCCTTCAAAAGTATCCGGAGAATCTGCTTAGCCTCCGATACTTGTCGAGCTACGAGAACTCCACGACCCATCCCTACATAATGCGCCACCGCCGCACCCACAAGCACCCGGCCCAGGACGATCTCACCTACGAGGCCCAGAATTAATAATCAAAGCTGTTGTTCAGCTCCGGTTTTTAAAGTGCCCGGCCACAAATTCTTATGTTACCGTAGTTGCATTTCTAGACCGTACCTGCAGACGCAGATGTACTGATCGATATATGTATGTATATGTATATACCCGCGTATATAGCCAAATGATATACACAGATACATATGTATGTATCTCACGCATTATTTAGGTTTTAGCAAACATAGTTTGTAATTTCATAAGCAAAGCAAATACAATGAAGCAATTTCAAGTTACTTGGGGTTCCACTTTCGTATATAAACAAAGCAAATTTAAGTTATGTTCCTACACCGATAGCTTTAATTTCTCACAGTGTACTTGAACACGTTTCGTTGCGAATGGCAGCAAGAAGAAGATCGGGCGAGTTACGTCGACTCGGCAACCAATACCTTTCAGAACTGATAAAACAGATGGCGGGAAGCGCAGAATGCCTGAGAATGGCAGCAAGGGTCTTTGTGTATGGTACGTTGAAGCGTGGTGAACCCAATCATCAATGGCTAACGAAAAAGGAGAATGGACAAGCAAAGTATCTGGGCAAGGGGATAACGGCTATTAAATTCCCCCTGGTGGTGGGCACCCGTTACAACATTCCTTTTCTGCTCGCCTGCCCAGGCGTGGGAAATAACATAGAAGGCGAAGTCTACGAAGTCGATCAGGCCATGTTTTCCAAATTGGACGAACTGGAAGATTACCCAAACTATTACGATCGCGAAGAGCAAACCATTTTGGTGGAGGAGAATGAGTAAGCAGCTTTGATATAGAAGTTAGATGGGAACCTTCACTTTCGACAATTTGCAGAACCACACAGTGTTGGCTGTACCTGATCCGCAATTTCCCAGACAAGATGTTGACCAAAGAGTTGCTTACCTCGTACCACAACACTCCGGAACAGCCGTACAGCGAGAAGTCAGTGCGCACTGTTTCTGCCAGAGAAGATCTTTCTTACTGACACAATTCCCTCCGGGTTTTTTTTTTTGCTACCTAGACAGTTGTCCGGATGATCTTGTTATGGATGACTAAGACACGGGACCTTATAAAAAAAAAATAACGTTTATAAACGGATTTCAACGCATGGCTATTATTCGTATTCTATTACTTTGATTCCATACTTCAAAAATGCAAAACGAAATGAATAATAGTAGTTTGTGGTTTAGGGTAAGATTAGCAGTGGAGACAGTGTAGATGAATGAAAAGCCTAGAAGAAACTGATTGTGCTGGCGCAGAACGAGTAGATGACTTGAGCTCGACAGCGGACACTGTAGTCGAAAGCGGTTCTCGCGGACAGCAGCAGCACAGTTGACAGGGGCTGGACCTAGCTGGCTTCGTCGTCAAGCGACTGGAATCGGTTTGAAGCCGCCACCGGGGCAGTCGTGGACTCCTGGACGCGTTGGAAGCGGCCCCCATGTCGGACTTCTTCAAAGGCGGGTTCGTTTTTCTTCTTGCGCTGTTCCTCCGGGCGCGCCGCATTGAGTGTTGGGAAGAACTCGGTGTTAGTAATATCAGGGGCTGCTCGTCGTGGGCGCAAAGCGCCGCCAATGGAACCACCTCCCAGCCCGCTTCCGGCCTGCTGCTGAAGAAGGTTAAATTAGACCAGTTATGGATCGTGTAGCTCTATGGACATACGCTGTAGCGTAACGCAGGTGAAACGTAGGTCTTCGACGATGGCTTCTCTGCCTCCACAGGCACTGGGATCTGCATTACCTCCTCGGCAGGAATTACTTTTTTCCAAGGTCCGTGCCCGACGCGCTCCTTATTGTCATCCGCGTTGTCATAACCATTACTGTCTTCCTCGTCATCGTCGAAGTTCCCGCCGTCCGGGTCGGTGGGCACTCGAGCGGACCGCGACTCGGCAGATTCCTGGGTAGTTCTGGAATGGGCCGAAGAACTGTAGAGAGCGGGTATGCGCAACATGCGGGGGTCAAATGCAAGTTCAATGACTGGAGGTGGCTCTTGTTCGCGCTCTTTGAACGGGCATTCTTCGTAATGAGGATAAAACTCACATGGTGCTGAGCTGTCCGATTTTTAGACCGCTGTAGTCTTTGCGTTGCTCCTCCTCGAATTCCTTCCACTCCTCCTCGACGGGCTGCGTCGTGATAAAACAACAAGAAACACATGCCAGTAATTAGTGACTAACGGTCGGTGATTTCACAAGACTCAAGCTAAGACTTTTACTCACCGGGGCGGACTCTGGCACCTTGGTGCCGCTGTTCTCGTTTTCGCCTACTATTGCCACGCTGCCAGCGACTGCTTCGGGTTTTTTAGGCTTAACCACTTCTCGCTTGCTACCGTCCTCCAGGTTCTTCACCAGCTCGTCGGCTGTCACGAACTTGGTCTTGTTCTTAGACTTCTTCTTGTCCTTTTTCGCAAAGAAATCGTCAAGTTCGGCCATTGCTTGCAATTAATTATAAATTAATAAAAATTCGTGACAGGAAATTTAGACAACTCTGCACGCCTTTTGTGCCAGAGCTGCAGATATATCGATAGGCGTGCCAGGGCTGAAATTTTCTGAGCCCTAGAAACGAATTTATATATATCATTATATAAAATTACTTTTAAATATAATTTGCTTTAAGGATTTTTTTTATGAATTTTTCTACGCTTCCAATCAATATGAATGACTTCTTTTTAAAAAGTAGCTGGTATCGATAACACGATAATCAATCATAGTCTAGATAAACGAAACCTGCCGAACATCTTGCCGATATCTCTTCTGCATAAATCGTTATTTTATTGTTGGCGGCTATTTTCAAGTCACATGAACAAAAGGTTTTATTTTACACACTCTTCTGTATAAGAAAACTACTAATTTTCAGGAAAAATAAAATCCATCGTCTCAAAAATTATATCTTTTGCGGCTTCTTTCCTAAATCACTTGTGGTTGAAATTGCTTTAAAAACACCCTTCGTGAAAAATATTGGAGAAATGCATAATTAATCATGCACAAATACAGCTGAACAGTCTTTCCATTGATTATCTATATTCGCGATATTGGCCAACGATCTATTTGCATAGGAGATTGATAACCACCTAATTAAGTCAAACAAAGTGGAAATCACCGCTGTAGTAGCTAAGCATGCAAAGCTAGATAATTGTGTAATGAAATCCAAGTCCATCCGTTGTTAATTTTGCATCCATAAATATGCCAATATATCTTATCTGGGACGAAGCGGCAGATCAATTAAAACTTGTCCAAATTTGCAGTGCTAATTGTTTCACACATCTTTAGTTCAAGTGTTCCTAGGGATCGCAACTACTTGGCTCAAGCCCCACCTAGGTACCCATAAGACAACTATTTGAGTACTCTGCCCTGTCTCAGCCTTTCAGACCATACAGACAGTTCCGCCTAGATTAGCCAAGCTAATATATATTTATGTCTGAACCAACACCTATCCGACTACGGCATGCAGCCAGACCAGGCCAGTGATTTTTGCTTCGTTTCGGCTTGGTTTGCCACATCCCAGAGCGGGGCCAGCCCATTCCGCAACACATTCATATTTACTTGCACCAGGTTGGCGCGTTCAGTCTTCTTCCGACCGCCGCTACGTGAACAACTAGTCGAACTCTCCACTTTCGCGATACGATTCGATTCGGGCAAAGTCACGAATTTGATACAAATATTACAAGTTTTAAATTTAGAAGAATCCCAAGCAATAAAGGTAATTAAATCAATTTACAGCACCATTAGATTTGCTTGTGTTAGCGTGCACTTCGACATCATATCGATAATATCAGCATGCTATTCTGCTTTTTGATTGCCGCCTTCTTTTAGGCTGATAACTTTTTGGGGCAATTAGGCAGCAATTCAAGGCATTTACCTGACCAGCGAAGCATTTAATTGGGAATTATAAAAGCATGACCCTTGAGATTCGTGTCGTAATCAAATGACTGCGTCTGAGATACGCTCTTGAACCCGTGTCTGTGTCAGGGTCGTGTCATGACCTGTCGCAAAGACTAGCTATAAGCTGTATCTGATATTTCGATATTTTAAGTTTTGGCTTAAAATTCCGTGATTCAGCCTGGACCGTGTATATATTTGAGTCTCACCTCACTGTTAATTTTATGTGTCTGGGCTTCATCTTATTTGTATCAAAGCAAAATTAATACAATAGCTATTTACATATTGAGGGGGTTTTTTATTTGAATATTTCGTCAGACTACACGACCAAAGGCCAAACAAGTAATGGAATGGAAGAATTGCCAACACTTAACGTTTTTCGATTTCATGGTTTAATGTCTCAGCCTCAAGTGGTTTTCTTAATGAGACTCCTCGCAGCGCCATCACAGCTCTTCTTCATTACCGCTTACCGCACTCAGAGCCTTAGGAAGGGGCAAGTCGTCCACAGTCAGTCAATCACACTCATAAAGACGCCGTTACATTGGCGTTATTAGCTGCAGACAAATTGTGGGCTGCACTTTGTCGTGGAAAATTTTAATGGTCCCCATCATCGTTAGCCAGTTCTGAGGTCGCAATTGAGGGGCAAAAACAAAATACTACTTAGGTTAGAAAATATCAATATGTAAACAAGAGGAACACACCATCGATAAACACAGCTACATGCAAGCTAATTAAAGATTCGAAAATGTTTATACTTACAACTGTCGACCGGTTTTTGCATTAATAAAAATATGACATAACGGAGGAGTATAACAAAAAATATAAAATAGTAATAAGTTGTCATTATAAGTAGGGTAAATTTTTGGCTTTGCGCAATACCTGAAAAACTTAAAACTCTTTGTACAGAACAGGTACATTGAGACCGAAAATCAGTATATATTTTTTAGTTTTATTTCGTTTATTTTCATTAACATAATTAAAACAATTATAACAAAGATAAACATACAAACTTATTACCTAATACGTGAAATGCATTAAGTCCTTCAATGAAAAACACCAGTAGAATTCCATAAATGATTAGGTAGCTTATCGGTGTAACCTTTGTTACAGTTCGCTGACTCCCCCTTTGTATCTCCCCTTCTTTGCCTTATACGGATCAAGTTCGTTGCCTAAGTCTTACGATTGCAGTCAACCAAATGAAGCTTCGGTGTTTTAGGTCGAGTTTCAGTGAAGTTGTGTTATGCTCATGGCTTCGGGTTTGACAACTTGGCCGACCTGGCTCTCAAAATTTGCCTCAATGTGTGTATTTCAAAGCTTGCATAAGTAAAAGCGAAATGACGTTGTTTTTTGGCAGCTGCTCTGCTTTTGCTGTTTATATATTTAGGTGACATATTAAAATTGCCCATTAAGCCTCAAAATTAGGCTAAGTAAAAAGAACTATAGTACCCAGATATGTTGTAGTGCTGTATAATTATATTTTTGACACAGTTACTCTTCTGTAAGAGCGATGGTTATTTAAGATACGATAGTATTTATGCTCAGGGTGGGTGTGACCACACTAGAGCCGCAAAAGAATTAGGTAAAAAAAGGAGGTCGCTCCGCCTAGCATGAAATGTCATGACATAGCCAAAGTGCAAGGAGTAGTCGTTGATTGCGTCCAGATGTGGCCAACTGTAACGTGGTTGCAATCCAAGCCAGCCGCATGCAAATTGAGCAACAAATACTTGCATCAATCTTCGACTGCAGAGGGGGCGACTTTAAGTCTACCTGGCACGCTAGACGGGTTTGATTCGATCCCGCTACCCCTGGACGTTACATAAGTCAGCAAAGAAATGCGAATCCACAGGCGCAATCGAAAATCCAAATAGAAACCGAAAGTCCACAGCAAACCGAAAGTCCATTGGAAACCGGTTTGTTGCAGGTTTAGCTACCTTGTTGCTGCTGGCTGCCTCTAACTCGAGCTCCAGGTGGGGCACGAGGGGCACGCTTAGCCAGAATGGGCACCAGTTTTTCCAGCAAGACTTGCGTCACCTGCGATTGGCATAGTTTTTCCTTTGACTGGTTTTCGTTTCCCGGAATACTTCTTGCTCCACTCGGTTCCCATTTCCAAACCCATCCATTTCCAAGAACATGTGCTAATTGCCGCCTTTTTATCAGTCAAGATGCCAGTGGATCTATCGCCAGTGCAGGAGTACTATAAAGACAAGACGATTTTTATTACTGGAGCGTCCGGGTTTATGGGCAAGGTGCTGCTGGAAAAACTGCTCTACTCCTGCCACTCCCTCAAAGAGGTGATCATCATCTGCCGCCCGAAGCGTGGCAAGGCCCCCGAGACGCGTCTGGAGGAGATGTTTAAGCTGCCTATATTTCAGCGCATTAAGGACGAGCGTCCGGAAATGCTTAAAAAAGTTACAATATACCAGGGCGATGTGACTTTTGACCGTAAGTAAATCAATTTGAACTCTGCTTTCCATCTAAATGCAATATTGTCTTCTGCCCTCCATTTCCAGAGCTTGGTCTCAGCGGGGAGAGTCTTAAGCACGTGACCGAAAATACCAACATCGTGTTTCACTTGGCGGCCACGCTAAAACTGGAAGGAAATCTTCGAGACGCCATCGATATGAACCTGCTTGGCACCCGGCGAGCCCTTAACGTGGCCAAGGAAATGAAGCAGCTGGAAGCCTTTATCCATCTGTCCACGGCATTCTGCAACTGCGACCAGGAGGTGATGTACGAGAAGGTTTATGAGTTCCCGCACAAGCCCGAGGACCTCATACGCCTGGCAGAGTGGATGGACGTGAAAACCTTAGACACCATTACACCGGAGCTGCTTAAACCGCACCCCAACACCTACACTTACTCGAAGCGCCTGGCCGAGCTCCTGGTGCGGGACCACTATGAGTCCATGCCCGTCATCATCGCCCGTCCCAGCATCGGTAAGTGACCTTTTGATCTTAAATTCCAACCAACTCTTGCTATTCCGTGTTGCTTTGGCCTAAGACCGATTCGATTTATTTGAATCGTTAATTTCCCATGTTTTTGCTGCGGGTTTGCTTGCTTGATGGCCAGCTACGCTGGTGCCGAAATAAAGACTGCGATTGGCTAGCCTCCAATTTACCATCTGCTAACTAAACATTCGCCTCCGCTTGATTCCCCTGTGTTTCTGTCTGTGCTGCCTTAGGCATGCTTGGCTTGCTTAGTATTTATTTCTTTTCCGGCCACCTGGTGTCTTTTGGCTCAACCAAAAATACGAATTGTCTGCATTGGCAGTTAATTATATTTTTATATTGGAAATTTCTGGACACCCTGAGAGACCGTTATCTATAGGAAATACAGAAACTATAATCAGAAACCTGTTTGAGTGGATTGATAAATCTGCAAAAAAAACTTTTTTTATTAGAGCCGTATGGTAACCTTTTAGTGGGGTAAAGTAAATTTGGTGATAGTAATAGAAATAGCTTATCACTTATGTTCCGTCTGAAAAATTACTGATTTAAAAATATCGAAATTATAATTTAAAGATATAATAGCTAAAATTAAAAGGGAAAAATAGGACAGTCCGTATAAATTCATTCTTAAATATTTTCTGAGGAAACTCAAACAATCCCCTCGTTTGTACTTTTTAATTTATATAGTAAAGATATTTAATCATACTTCCGCTCGAGTTCCCTACAAAAATATTGTAACAGTCCAGATGGAAACTTAACTCCGGTAAACTGTATTGCTAGGCAATCAACTAACGTGCATATGTATAACCAGAAGTCGATGGTTAGCTCTTTATTCGCGAACTATCAAGCAAAGTTCCGCACAGTTCGCGGATATTAGCAGATAGTGATTAATGCTTTTCAGGGAGAGTGGGCTGCTTTGGTGCTAGTTTTAAGACGCTTCTTGCCTTCTAAGAGTCTAACTCGACAGTGTATTTTATGACATCGCTATCGGTTTAAGCTCGCGTTCCCGTCTCTGGGGCGGGCTCACCCGCTTGCCTTTTCCGCTGCAGCGCTTCTTAATACAAACACCGCATATGAACCATAGCCGCAAAACAGATCTGAGCAAGCTACCAATCGAGAACTGCCACAAAAAACCACAGTGCTTGAAAAGAAAAAGTCTGATAACTACACAGCCCGGCATAAAACCTTGCTTAAAACAACAAACAACATCAACCACTGCACACAAATGCCGTCGTCATTGACCAAAAAGTTCAATGAGCATGCAATAAAAACAGAAGAAGACAAAACTCCAACCAGCCTCCGCTTACCCCGCCTCACCTTCGCATCCGCATCAGCCTGATATCCGGAACCGCTGGAGAAGAGTTCAATCTCTTCCCCTCCAGTCTGAATTCAACTCCCGTTCGGCAGTGTCGCCCTCGGCGTACGAACCCGTTCCGGGATGGGTGGACAACCTAAACGGACCCACCGGCCTGATGGTGGGCGCCGGCAAAGGAGTAATCCGCTCCATGCTTATTGACACGCGCCATCTGTCCGAGGTAATTCCTGTGGACTACGCCATCAACGGGCTCTGCGTAATCCCCTACCAATTCGCAAGCCTGAAGGAACGCCCAGCAGAAGTGCCTGTATACAACATAACGTGCGCAGACCATCGAAAGATGCAGTGGGGTGAAGTGATTGAGATGAGCAAAGAGATTGGGTACCGCTACCCGATGGAGGCTGGACTTTGGTATCCGGACGGATGCATTACTACTAACAAGCTCCATCACAACATCAACGTGCTGCTCTTCCACTGGTTGCCGGCCTATTTTATCGACTTTATCCTGTTGCTGCTTAGCCAGAAACGATTGTAAGTTGCGGCTGCAGTGAAAACGTGGGCACATTTCCTGACCCTTTTTCTCTAGCATGATTCGCGTCCAGAAACGCATCTCTGTGGGCCTCGAAGTGCTGCAATTTTTTACTATGCGTGCATGGTTCTTCAAGTCAGATGCATACACCTCGCTTTGGGACATGCTAAGCGAGGCGGACAGGAAAAAGTATGTAACGAGAGAATAGAGGGGTTACTAAGTTGACTAAATTCGATATACCCACCCAAAAGCTTCAATATGGATATGGATCCCGAGGAGACCGTCCCCATGTACATAGAATCATGTGTCCAGGGAGGGCGACAGTATCTGATGAAGGAATCGCCCGATAGCCTACCGCGTGCCAGGCTCCAGCTAAAGCTGTAAGCGGCTTCCGCCCACATGTTGTTGATCCCTGATCCTGATCTCTGCGCGATCCCTTTCCTTTTATTTATAGAATGTACATCTTGGACCGCGTGTGCAAGATGCTTATCGTTGGCTCGCTGTGCTACTGGACTTACGGTTTGGTGGCACGCCTCCTAGGCGTCTGAGGGGCCAGAGGAAACTCTATTCATTTGCGCGCATTTTTTTTATCAATTTCCGCTTAGGTTCGCTTTGGGGCATAACTACGGGGTTTCGGCAAAAGGCCTCGATTCTGGTTTTTATTTCTACTTTAAGTGATTATCTATGTTTCTTGTGAAAATAAAACTTCGGTGAAATAAGCTTATGTGTCTGTGATTCAAGTGTTCAAGTGTTGATCCAGTGCAGAGGACCATCCGCTCGCGAGACAATACGAACAACACAAACAGAAACACACAGAACAATGATATTTCCCCACCCCTCTTTAACACAACCTTACCCAAGCTATTCTTAAATTAACATAGTCACCATAATACCAATCATACCACTTACACCTACACCACATACACATAAGAATAATACGGCTTCGGTGACCATCATCCCAGGCTCTTGGTACGTAGACTGGTATCCACTAGACTACCAATTGGATATCTCTTAGTAAACATCCATTTCATTCTGTTAATAGTCTCTCCAGCTGCCTATGAGCCGTTGCCCGGATGGGTGGACAACCTGAACGGACCGACTGGCCTGATGATCGGATGTGGAAAGGGCGTCATCCGGTCTGTCCTGGTGAATCAAAAGAATAAGGCCGAGGTCATTCCCGTAGACTATGCAATCAATGGACTGATCGTCATTCCATACGAGTTTAACAAACAGGCCAAGCGCCCTGCTAATGTACCCGTTTATAACATCACTAATGCGGACCATAGAAAGATGTGCATGGGTACCGTGGTCGAAATGAGCAAGCGCATTAATAAGCAGATCCCTTTCAATGCCGGCCTCTGGTACCCGGATCCATGCGTCACCACAAACCAATATTACCACAATTTCAACGTGGCTCTCTTTCACTGGCTGCCAGCTTACTTCTTGGACTTTCTTATGCTAATCCTTGGGCAAAAGAGATTGTGAGTTGTGTAAAATTAAGCAACGCCGAAGTGTCGTAACGTACTCGTCTTCTTCTCAAGCATGCTAAGGGTACAGGAAAAAATTTCCACGGGTCTGGGCGTCTTGCAGTTCTTCACCTTAAATGCGTGGTGCTTCCGTTCTGACAACTACGCTTCGCTGTGGAACAAACTTAATGAAGAAGATAAGTTGATGTAAGTGCTATTGAAATTATCTAAGCTTTGTAGGCTTTTTATCAATGTCCTCTATCTCGTTTAGCTTTAACATGAATATGAACACCAAGGACACCGAAGAGGAGTACATGATTGAATGTGCCAAAGGCGCTCGCAAGTTCATCCTTAAAGAGAAGGAAGAAGATATTCCCAGGGCGCGCCTGCATATGAAGATGTGAGTTAGGTAAATATCCCTTCTTAGAGCCAACTTACATAAGCTTTCGTTTTCTTCCAGCCAATGGGTCGTGGATATTGTATGCAAGACGCTGATCGTGGGACTCCTTTTCTACTACCTCCTTAAATGGACGGGGGTATTGGCTGTATTCTGAGTCCATTTCTTGGTGGATTCGTATTGATTTGGTGGTCACAGGCATTTAATTAGTCAATTAGCTTAGTTGTAGTTACAAAAATTCGAGGTTTTGATTCCAAATAAAAATTATCCTAGGTTGTTGAATATGTACATTTTGTCACTACACCGTGTTTTTCTCCCCCTACCCACTTGCTTGGAGTTTAATTTGCGGGCTTACCTTTCCTCTTATTTGTTTCCTAGTAACTCCAGCTGTTGCTGAGCCCCTGCCAGGTTGGGTGGATAATATGAACGGACCTACAGGTGTCCTAATTGGAGCCGGCAAAGGAGTCATAAGATCCATGATATGCAATGGGGAACTCAAATCGGAGGTCATTCCCGTGGACATCGCTATCAACGGCTTAATTTTATTACCGTACCACAACAGTCTTACGGAAAAGAGGTAATTTCAACTAGCGCCATAGCCATATCAATTTGATGTATAGCATTTGGCGCAGGTCCCTCCACATACCAGTATACAATCTTACCGTGGACGACGCAAAAAAACGCACATGGAAATGGATAATGGATGTGGGCCGAGACTTGGGCATAAAGTACCCTTTTGAAGTCGGACTGTGGTATCCCGATGGCAACATGACCTCCAGCAAATTCTACCACGTTATTTGCACTATTTTGTTTATGTGGCTGCCAGCCTACCTCATAGACTTCTTACTTTTTGTCTTTGGACAACGTCGCTTGTAAGATATTTTTTTAACGACAAAAAGAGCCATATCAGTGTACGGTCATCATATTTTCTTTAATTTTAGCATGATCCGCGTTCAAACAAAAATTGCTGTCGGTCTGGAGGTTCTGCAATTCTTTACAACGCGAAGTTGGGACTTTAAGTCTACACACTTTGAGCAGATTTACAAGGATCTAAGTGATACAGATCGAAAAATGTAAGTTAAGAAGTTTGTTTATATGAATGTGAAGTTCTATAAAAATTTACTATGAATAGATTCAAAATCAATACCAACGACGTTGACGACCATGAGTACATGAAAATCAGCATTTTGGGCGGACGGCAATATGTGATGAAGGAGCCATTAACATCATTGCCCAAAGCTCGCATACAATTAAGATTGTAAGTAACATTTAACCACCATTTTAAGCTTGTTACAAATTTCTTTATATTATTCAGCATGTATGTTCTGGACCGAATTTGTAAATCCCTAATCATCTCCGCTCTTCTATATTGGGCTCTTCAAAAACTGGGAATAATCAATTGGGTCTCAAATGGATACCAGTTTAGGAAGTCGGCTTTCTCTTATTAAAAATTCCCTTGCCTTTAAAATGTGTATTGTACATCAGGTCAAATATATTCAGGTGATTTGTTTATGTTAACATTCTTTTCCAAACAGTTAGTTAAAAATAAAATTAACAAATAAAAATTTAATTAAAATAAGGCTGAACAGCGAGGCCTGAAATTTCAAAATACAAGCCATGTTTTGCACTGTTGCGAAAAAAAATATTGAAACAAGGTTTGGCCCTTCAAATTCAAGCCATGTTTTGCACTGTTGCGAAAAAAAAATTATGGAAACAAGGTTTGGCCCTCATGTGCACTTTTTCAGAAAGCCATTATCAATTTTTTTTTAGGAAAAATAATATAACCGCTTCAAAAAAAAAAATAATTAAAATTTTGTTAAAGCAACAGCCTAAGCAATGGACTCATTTCGTTTATTTTTTTGTACATCACTGCAGCTGGACTTGTCTGTTATTGATTAGTAATAAGACATCTCTCTTTTAAGTTATTTTTCAGTTAGCACCTGTCGATATATTTACAAGGTGTGGCAATGATGCTCCCAACCATCGATAGTTTTGTTCCCAATCGATCATCTTAAAGAAAATAAGAGCAAGGTTTCAATTTTACAACAGCAATTCAATCCGTTGTTCCGACACCAACTATATGTTGTAAAATAAGCTAAGCTTTCAATACCTTTCTTTTTTTAGGTGATTTAAAAAACTAAATATCTTGTTAATTTGTGTTTTCATTCTAAGCCGTATAGTAATCTTTTTAAATTACAAAAACCAACAAAAAAATGTTTGTTTTGCCGCTAAAATGACATTTAATTCCTGTTCGCTTGTATGAATTTACCAATGAAAATTATTTTAAAACTTGGGGTTAATGAATTGGGAAGGATTGTTTCTAAAAACGCAGAGTAATTTAAATAACATCAAAAAATACACAAATACTTTTACATACATGTATGGGATTAACATGTGTATGCTTTTATATTGTTTATTATCTACACCATGCCAGGTGTCTGTATAGTTAATTAAGTATTTAAAGAAATTAGTCTCTTTCAATTCATATTATCTTTTCATTTCAAAAGTGCGATTTTGTCGAAGTCGGTTTAAGAAAGCCGTAACCCGCATTGTAAAAATGTGTCGCAACGTAATTCCTAATATTCGTAGCCGAGCTTATTTTCAGTGACAATTTGAATTCAGCAAATTACAAGCTTTTGTTTTGGCAGAGATATTAAGCGAAAAGCACGGCAGCAGAGAAGCATAGCTGTTGAGTGAGGTTCAATCTTAGGAATCAAAAATCTTAACTAAGACAGAGAGGACAAGGTTCTGAGGACTTGAGTAAAAAGCACCACAGCAGAGGCAGAGAAGCTCAGCTGTTGAGTGAAGTTCGATTGTATTTTAAGAGTCTTGAGTAAGAAAGAGATGACAATGTTATGAGGACTTGAGTGTGAAGCACCACAGCAGAGGCAGAGAAGCTCAGCTGTTGAGTGAAGTTCGATCGTACATTAAGAGTCTTGAGTAAGACAGAGAATACAAAGTTCTGAGGACTTGAGTGAGAAGCACCACAGCAGAGGCAGAGAAGCTCAGCTGTTGAGTGCGGTTCGATCGTGTATTAAGAGTATTCAGTAAGACAGAGAAGACAATGTTCTGAGGACTTGAGTGAGCATGCGTCTTGTGAGTGAGAAATAACAGATCCATGAAAAAAGGGGGTAAGCCGACAACATATGTATGTATGCGCCTTTGTTCGATGCAAAGCTTCTCTGCTTGCGTCGCTGCGTTTGTTGTTGCTTGTGTGAGTTGTTACGTACGTTTATATACAAAAAGTGCCGTTAATTTTTTCGAAGCACTGTGTGTGCGTTGCTGCGATCGTCGATGCCTGCGTCGCTTTGTGTGTTGCTATGTATGCCGCTATGTGTGGGTTAAGTGCGTCGCTGCTTGCGTCACTTTGTTAACCATTGCATAGATCTCCTTGTTCGCCATTTATTGCCTGTGTTGCTACTTACGCTTGTGAATATGTCGTCATAATATGCATTTTTTTTGGAAGCGTCAGTGCCTGCGTCGGTGCTTGCGTTGCTTGGTAAATCGCTGCAAGCGTCGCTGCCCGCGTCGCAATAGCGTAGCCATATGCAATCAACGCTCTGTCCGCCATTCTTCTATCGTAAGTCATTCGACGCGCTTGTTCGTTTGCTGTAATTAGTCACAAAAAAATATAATGTTCGGTAATTATAACTTGAGAGATTCCGTTGTGTGTACATATGTATGTATTACTAATCGTTGATTTGTTTAAAGCCGAAAAAGGTCTCCGCGCGTCGGGACCGAAGTACAAAATAAGCAACCCAGCCCCAGTTGGCCATTCTGCGTTCTCTTGTCATTTGGTGCGGTTGTCTGATTGGCCCCATTGGTTTTGGTATATAAATAAACAATTATGTACTGGTCTTTCGGTCGGCCATTCAAGCGGGAAGCGTCGTTGCTGGCTAATCCGTTTTCTTTTCCAAGCATTGCATCGTTGTTTGTTTGACCAAAAACCAAACAGTTTTATTATCATTGTATCCGGCATAGAAAAAAAGGCAACGGTTAACTATCCGCCATTGTTCAACCATTGTCGTTCGGTAAAGTTTTTTTTTATTCTCTTGTGAAAAAAATTAAATGGCGCGTCAAAATTATTTTAATAATGAATGTAATTAGGTCGTGCTTTAAAAATGTATTGCGTTACATCGCTTTTTAATTCCGATAAATGAATATTAGTTAGCGCCAATTAATTAATCATCTTAAATATTAATATAAATAAAAAGTAAACAGTTATCTAGCAAACAATTTCTATATTTGCAAAAAAAAATTCGGTTTTTTCGGCCGCAATAGCGCTATGCATAGTGGTCTGTTGGACACCTGTTTATTTTTTGCCGATGCCGTATATAAACTGCAGTCCTACTTTTGTTATTCTTTTCATTGTAGGGTGCCGTCGTTGTAAATAAATAAACAAATGTGATAAAATTACGTGCCCATTAAACTTTTTATGTGGTTTTCAACTATCAATACTTTATAGATTACAATTTTTCTTTGTTTATAGTGTCTCAAAAATTGCAGTTACATGGAAAAAAAAGGCAACGGATTATTTGAATGGCTCAAATTATAATATTTGTGGAGAAAAAGTAATTAAGCCTACTCCTACTAATAAAAGTGGTTCAGCTTGATTGATACGGAGCGGAATAGAATCTAGTGCCACCAACATATTGTTGTATGTATTTATTTATATTTTAAAATTTAAAATCTCACTTCTGTCATTCTTTTTCAGTGTATAAGATATGGTGGTTTAATGGCGTTTAGCGGAAAGTGGAACAAAAATAAACTTTAACGGCTTAAATCTGAGAAGCCAAGAGTATGCAATTCATATTGACGGATATTTCTATATGGATACAAGACATTTGATTTGCTGACTGCAGAAGACAAAGGAACTACTAAAATTAATAAGCAGTATGTATACTTTGCATATTGGTGTTTCGTAGCTTATTTCCTTTCTTATTTTCAGTGTTTTAGCAAATCACGGTTTAATAGCGGTTAATGGAAAGGGAAAGTAAGGATAACGTCAATTGTCTTATATTGAATACCGTGGAAAAAGCTGCGATTAAACAGACGGTTACATCTTTTCTTATAAAGAGGTACGTACATACATTTTCATAAATCTTTCACAAGTTGAGTGGTATTTTTAAACAGTTTGTTATTCTAATGAAACCAAATACCAGCAGAAGATTAGACCGACTTTTTGTTACAAATGTTTTTGAAAGCAATTGCTTAGACTCAATTAATACATTAAAAAGTATTTACACAGAGATAGCCATCAACACTTTTAAAGTTTTATTAGGCTCTTCTTTTCTGACATGCGCTCAACTAGCAATGCTTAGCTGCCGTCGTAAAAACAAAAACTTACGTGACCTGCCGCTCATCGGTTTTTCTTTGTAAAGGGGTGTGGTTTTCGTTCCGCCTATTTTATATATCTCTGTACTGCTCTTTTGGGTTTCAAAGTAATATCCCCCGCTGCTGCTAGCCCTAACCCTGCCGCCATTAGACAATTTTCTGTTTGGAACAATTCTGGTGGTTGGTTGTTTTTCTTGTACGTAGTTATGTATGGCATGTTTATTGTACGGAAATTTGATAATATTTGTATATTTTTTTACACATTGTCTTCTGCTACAAGCACCTTAGTGGCAACGCTCAACTTTTACCGTAAAAAAGATACTTGCGGGAAATTTGTTTACATTGCTTATTTGGAGCTTGTTTTTGTCGTTCGTCTTTTGTATATATAGCTGCATTGCTTTACCAGCCGTAAAAAGTATACAGGTTGTTGCCACATCGCAAAAAGAAAACACCGCGGCCGGGAATGTTCTTTGTTAACTGTAATTACACGCTAATCTTGTAGAAAAAGAGTACATGCAATACATATGAATTATATTTGAAATCTATGTAGTTATACTGATTTAGTGGCTTATTGAGTGATGAATTATACATAAACTATCGATTGTTTATATTTTATTTGCACATTAACAGGAAAAAATATTACCAGGAAAAGAAGAAAGGCTGTTCCGGGTATTTTTTGCGACGCCAATACTGACCAACAGATGTTCGAAAAAAAAACGCGAGTTTGTTTATATTTTTTTTAACCTAATAAGAATCAATGCTACCAGGAAAAAAAAGCCGAATGGTATTCGGGTAAAGTTCGACTCGCCGAGACTGACCAACAGATGTGCAAAAAAAGACGCGAATCTGGACTGTTTTTTTTTTTGTGACGCCGAAGCTCAGTCCGCGGCAACGCAAATTCTTTAGGCACCAAAGAGAAATACAGATACAGAATATATAAGAAATAATATTAACAGGAAAAAAAGACGAATGGCACTCTGTGAAATGTTGCGATGCCGGCACTGACCAACAGATGTTGAAAGAAAAATAGCAAATCTGGAATGTTTTTTTGTGACGCCTGTACAAAGCCCGCTGCGACGCAAATTCTTATGGCGCCAATAGAGCAGTATGTGTACGGAACTTATAGAAGACTTTCTGTTGAATTGTACGAGTGTCTTACTTTAGGGAAAGATAAATTATAGGGTAATTATAAGTTAACTACAGGTGAATTAGAAACAATTTATACATCAAGTAGAAAGAAAAGCTGAATTCATTACATGTGATTTATAAATAATTATTTTTGTTTGTAGATTAAATATTTTACTGTAAAGGGGAAGAGCTTGCAGATTAATAATGGTTTCTGGCTGATTATACGTAGACTAATTATGCAATGAAGGTGTGCATACATACATATACATAACTTATACGTAATTTGCTGGTGAATTATAAGTGTGTTTCACTGGAACTAAAGAGCAATTATTGGTCAATTATAAATAATTTACAGTTTAATTAAAAACAATTTGTACATTAGGTATAGAAAAAAGAGGAAGTAATTACATGTGGTTTATAAATATTTAAATTATGTTTCCAGATGAAATATTTTACTCTAAAGGGAAGAGCCTTGCGGATTACAATTGGTTGCTGGGTAGTTATACATAGAATTGTTATATATTTTACCCTAACATATGCGCATTTTTTATTAATTTTAGGTGAGCTTTGCATTGTGCTGCGGAAAGGAAGAGCTCTGCCGTACGCTAACCGGATTTAGATTGTTATCCGAAGGAAGGTTCCACATTGATTGATATACTATATGCATAACATATATTGCTTATACAGGGTAAGTACTTGATGAATGCATGCTATCTAAATAATATGTAGGAAAAATATGCGTTATATCTATTTTGTCATTTAGTAACGTACATTTACTGCATTGTTGTGCCCTTTTGGCATTACTTGTACATCACTTAGAATTCATTTAACATTTAATGGCCGACCGTTTTAAGGGTGTTGTGTCGGACATTAACATTTGTAGTAGAAGGCGATCATAAATAAGTATGCCATGGTATTGATTGGCTTTGCATACTATTAGGCTCTATTAATATATTGTGCTTTGTAAATATGAAGCCATCCAAAAAGTATGATGTGTTTTATAGCAACACTGGCTTTGTAGTAACTGATTTCATCCGAAAAGCAGGCCGTGTTTTTTTTAGCAATGACTGCTTTGTTATAGAGGGCGCCGTAATTAAGTTAGCATATATATAGGAGGCGTTTTTACTATTTTACTGTAAGGTAGGTGGCGCTTCATTAAACAGGTGTATTATAGCATCTTTTGCAATGAAAAAGAGGTTGCTTATAAAGAGAAGGTGTTTACAGCATATTGCCCATTATTAGACAAATCATGCAAAGAGAGAATATTTTAATTTATGTGACTCTTATTGCAGATGTTATTGGAAACAAAAGGCGTTACTTACTACACGGAGCAACATCTGCAGGCGTATGGAAACCAATGGTTGCTTATAAAAGAAGGCGCTGCCCAGCACACAACGCTTCTAAAGAAAGAGGAATACACAATAATGGCGTCGTAGCAGTGCTGTTAAAAAGAAGACACCTAAGAAGAGAAGCGTTTCATCATATCATGTGGAGGTTCACAATTCAAATATTCTACATATTGGAAAAAAATTTATAATAATGCTAGGGTATACCGCTTATGTAAAAAACCAATTATGTTTACTGTTGAATGTATGACAATATCACACATGTTAAAATAAGTTACTAGTACTGTAAGCTGTTGTATGCAATGTATAATTGTTGTTCAAAGATGTTATTAGTTTAAGCATATGTTAAGCCACATTTATTGTAACACAATGAGCTTGTACACATAGTTAAGCTAGACATAAGCAATGTTCAGCCAATCGCCAGACAATGTTAAGACAATCGATTAGGCACATTTTAGGCAACTGTTAGGTAATGTTTAGCTTATTTAGGATGATTTCACATTGCTATTAGGATCATTTCTGCATTGTTTCTAGACTGTTTTTACATTGTTTTAGGCACGTTTCTACATTGCTTCCGCATTGTTTCTAGGGACATTCCACATTGTTTTGAAACTGTTTTTATACACTTTTAGGTCCATTTGTATATTAATGCCGCGTTAATTAGGCAACATTAGACTATTGTTAGGCAAGGTATAGGCGATCCTTAGGCATTGTTTTAGGCCGCTTCATCACAGTATGTGGAGGTTCACAATGCAAATATTCTACATATTGGAAAGAAATTTATAATAATGCTAGGGTATACCGCTTAAGTAAAAAACCAATTATGTTTACTGTTTAATGTAGACAATATCACACATGTTATAATAAGTTGCTAGTATTGTAAGCTGTTGTATGCAATGTATAATTGTTGTTCAAAGATGTTATTAGTTTAAGCATATGTTAAGCCACATTTATTGTAACACAATGAGCTTGTACACATAGTTAAGCTAGACATAAGCAATGTTCAGCCAATCGCCAGACAATGTTAAGACAATCGATTAGGCACATTTTAGGCAACTGTTAGGTAATGTTTAGCTTATTTAGGATGATTTCACATTGCTATTAGGATCATTTCTGCATTGTTTTTAGACTGTTTTTACATTGTTTTAGGGACGTTTCTACATTGCTTCCGCATTGTTTCTAGGGACATTCCACATTGTTTTGAAACTGTTTTTATACACTTTTAGGTCCATTTGTATATTAATGCCGCGTTAATTAGGCAACATTAGACTATTGTTAGGCAAGGTATAGGCGATCCTTAGGCATTGTTTTAGGATGATTTCACATTGCTATTAGGATCATTTCTGCATTGTTTTTAGACTGTTTTTACATTGTTTTAGGGACGTTTCTACATTGCTTCCGCATTGTTTCTAGGGACATTCCACATTGTTTTGAAACTGTTTTTATACACTTTTAGGTCCATTTGTATATTAATGCCGCGTTAATTAGGCAACATTAGACTATTGTTAGGCAAGGTATAGGCGATCCTTAGGCATTGTTTTAGGCCGCTTCATTACAGTATGTGGAGGTTCACAATGCAAATATTCTACATATTGGAAAGAAATTTATAATAATGCTAGGGTATACCGCTTAAGTAAAAAGCCAATTATGTTTACTGATGAATGTATGACAATATTACACATGTTAAAATAAGTTACTAGTACTGTAAGCTGTTGTATGCAATGTATAATTGTTGTTCAAAGATGTTATTAGTTTAAGCATATGTTAAGCCACATTTATTGTAACACAATGAGCTTGTACACATAGTTAAGCTAGACATAAGCAATGTTCAGCCAATCGCCAGACAATGTTAAGACAATCGATTAGGCACATTTTAGGCAACTGTTAGGTAATGTTTAGCTTATTTAGGATGATTTCACATTGCTATTAGGATCATTTCTGCATTGTTTTTAGACTGTTTTTACATTGTTTTAGGGACGTTTCTACATTGCTTCCGCATTGTTTCTAGGGACATTCCACATTGTTTTGAAACTGTTTTTATACACTTTTAGGTCCATTTGTATATTAATGCCGCGTTAATTAGGCAACATTAGACTATTGTTAGGCAAGGTATAGGCGATCCTTAGGCATTGTTTTAGGCCGCTTCATCAGCTATGTGGAGGTTCACAATGCAAATATTCTACATATTGGAAAGAAATTTATAATAATGCTAGGTATACCGCTTAAGTAA